GCTCGATTTGGGAGTGTGGATTTGCCTTATTCATGTGCGATTTCATTTTCGCGTTGGCTTCCCCACAGGTCTGCACAACCGAGCAGTGCCAGTCCTGCCGGCAATGAGTTCGAGCCCAGCGCCGATTCTGCTTTCAACGCCCGTTCCAGCGGCACCCAGTCACCTGCCCTCGACGCAAACCCGCGCAATTCCCGTGCTGCCCCCGGTCGCCCAGCGTCGTGACTCGACGGACAAACGCCCAGGCCCCGGCAGTGCGCCAGAGTCTCCAAAAGAACCTGCTCGCAATTACTCTCCACGCCCCGCCGGATTGCCTCCGCTGAACTCCCAAGGCGGCAGTCTGGGTGCAACTAGAATGGAGGGCGCTCTTGCCGCTGCTGCTGCCGCTGCTGCTACAAAAGCACAGACACATGCACCACCAGCATACCCGTCTTCGACCCGACCTGCTGGTCAAAGTCGGCCTCCGCCGCAAGCGCTGGCATCGTACAACTACTCTGCACCCCTGCCAGACATCCCGGTCGGCTACCAAGAGGTAGCAGACGACGAGCCGCCAGCCGTTCCGGCTCCTGACTACAACACTGGCAACGACGATGACGACGATGACGATGATGACAATGGCGTCGCTTACGAAAACGACGATGATCTCGATGTCCCTGACGATTACTACGACAACGCCGAGGATCCCATCTATGGCAACGCAGAAATGCTCTCCCAAGAGATACTGGCCAGGCTCATGTCCGGCTCGCGCGCGCTGGAGGACGTGGTTCGCCAACGAGGCCGATCCTGCTTGAAATTTGAGCGGGTTTTGGGCGAGGGCCAGTTTGGTACAGTCAACCGTGCGATCGTCACTGGAGCACCCGCGCTTCACCAGCACGTGGCGGTCAAGCAATTGAAAGGTAGGTTGTGTCTGCGGTCGCTTGATTCTAAAAAGTTGCGTTGGATGTTGGTGAAGACGGTTTTTGTTGCAATGTTGAATGCCCTCACATGGCACGTATGCAACACGATCAGACAACGCCGAGGCAAAGCACAAGCAGGACTTTCTGTCAGAAGCAGAGCTCCTCAAGCCCCTCAAACACGACAACGTCATTCGCGCAATTGCTCTGTTCCCTCAGACCGCTGGAGCCCCAGCGTGCCTTGTCCTTGAATATCTCGAATACGGCGATTTGCGCAATCTACTGCGCAAGTGCCTTGCTCTCACGGATCGCGGTCGTGACCGTTTCAACCAGTCACGAAAGTCGGACTTTCCGGGACCCCTCAACCCGCTTGGCGAGGCACCGCTGTCGGCGATCTGCGCCCTCAACTTCCCGCATGACGTGATGCCGTGGGTGCGCTTGACCGAGCCAGAGTTTCGCTTCATTCTGTCGCAAGTGGCGGAGGGCATGGCCTACTTGTCGAGCGTTCATCGCTTGGTGCACCGCGATCTGGCCACGCGCAATTGCCTCGTAGGTCGTGGTTTGAACATTAAGATTGCCGACTTTGGCCTGTCGCGCGAGCTGGTGGATGACAAGGATTACTATCGGTAACGCCCTGTTTCGTCTTGTACTTCGTTGGCTGTTTTGTTTCATTTAGCTTTTGCTCACCGGGGGTTGCCTTGGTTTGTGATGGCAGAGTGCAATCCAAGGGCAAGCTGCCGATTCGCACAATGGCGATCGAATCCATCTTTTATCGCACGTGGACAACCGAGTCCGACATCTGGTCGATGGGTGTCTTGGCGTGGGAGGTTTGTCGCCGTCTTGAGCTTTGCTGTGGCCTGCGTTAGGCTTGCTTCGCTTTCACTCACCTGTTTGTTGCTCTTTCTTTGACTCGACTGCTTCCTGCTAGGTCTTTACGTACGGTGACACGCCATACAAAGCCGTGCCACTGGACCAACTGGTCACATTCCTTGAAACTGGCAAACGCCTTGCTCGCCCTCCGGACTGTCCGATGGAAATGTAAGTTGATTGTGCTTGCTGTGCAATGCCTCAAGCTGCGGTTGGTTGCTCTGACTTACCGGTTGACTGTTCTTCCAGCTTCGAGGTGCTCCAAGGCACATGGAACGCCACCCCGTCGTCCCGCCCGTCATTCGAAAAGATTGCTGAGGTCTGCAAGCGCAATCTCAATGTTCGCGACGTTCGCGATATTGGCTCCATTGTTAAGCAGCGCGAGCAGTCATCCGGCGTCTGGCAGGGTTGATTTTTTAATGGTTTTCTTGATTTTGTTTTTTTTTTTCAGTTAGCTTCATCCTCATTATTTTCGATAGTGCGACTCTAGTGGTTCTCGGCTTTTGTGCATAATAGCTCTCGTTCGTCTCAATTTGCAATCATCCAGAACAAACATCAACCAGATGGGAAATTTTACAATTTTTGTTTGTTTTTGGAAAGGCAATTTTGCTTCGCTGTTGAGAACAAGGCTGAATTCGAAACTAAAACAAGAATCTTAACAAAAGGCCGGCACACATCGATCAATAGCGAACAATGCTTATACCGTGCTCGACGACGCGGTTAGCAGGACAAGCACAATCACCGCATTCACCACAGCCATAACGTCCTCGAAAAGCAGACCAGAGCCTGCGCTGCCATCGTTCAATGTGTGCTCCTCGTTGCTTTGGTTGCTCACTTCCAAGTGAAAGTATCCCCAAGAAAGCAGAAAGGTGAGGCCAGCAACGGCGAGATTCAGCCCGTGCTTGCCGAGATCTGTTCCAACAAAGAGATGGAGAAAAAAAATCCATTCCAGGCACAAAGTGAGTAATTCGTGTCATGTTGCTGTGTGTGTCGGCGCATCGTGTAATTGATTGATGCTCGTGTTGTTGCGACAAACATCTCTCGTTCAGCTTGGCAAAACTCACTCAGATTCGTCACAGAGGCGCTTGCGACCGCTGGAAGAATAAATGCGCATCCTAGAATAATGCAAATCGACGCAAAGAGCTTCCTGAGATTGATTGTGTTTGACTGGGTCGCTGTCTCCGAGTTGCTCAGCTTGCGCGGGGTGTGAGGGCGAGCCACTCCAGCAGCGCCCGGGGACGACGCGGATCCAGCAGAGGCCTTGCGTTTTCGCGCAGAGTGATCAGCGTGGTCAACACCATCGTCTGCGCCACGCGATCGCAGGGATACACTCGGCGACGACGACGCGGGCTTCTTGGCAGCGGGCGAGACTGGGCTCCGAACGCTGATTTCAATCCGGTGCTTGACTGGGAAGCGGTCGACGGACGACGTCGTGGAAGCCCTTCCATCATCATCATCATCATCGTCATCGTCATCGTCGTCATTGTGAGCATCATCGTTGGGAGCATCAGCGCTGTGTGCATTCGTGCGGTTCCGATCGCGAGGCGAGATTGAAGCGGTTTGAAAATTCTGCACCTTGAGCGAGTCGAGGATTGCCTGCATGTCTGGACCGTGCTGATGAGCATTGAGCGCTGAATCAGCGTCGGATGATAGCGATGAGATGGACGCTGTGGCGGTCGAGGTGCGGGTGGCGCGGCGGGAGGGCGTCGGTCGCACCAGAACTGGTCGCGCCGTTGTCGAAACGCGCGCCGACATCACTGAGACTGAGGAATGGAAGGAATGGAAGAGTGGATCAAGCAAGATGAAGCAAGTTTCATAAAGGAGAATAGAATGATTGAAATTTCGTGGCCCAGCAACGAGGAGCAAGATTGACAATTTGGTATGGAACACACAACCCAAAACACAGGAACAGGTTTCAATGGAAAACACAAAAATAAATAATACTACATACGGGCTCGCTTGGAGGAGCGTGTCGGTGGTGGAGGAGCAGTGTTCAGGATGTCGGGAGTGGCGGAAGCATCCTGGTTGGTGAGCCGACGTTTGCGCTGAGCTGATGTTGTTGCAGCAGGTTCTAAAACAGCAGCAGCAGCCGCAGCAACAGCAGTAGCAGTAGGTGCAAGGTCTGCTCCCCGTCGTGTGGAAAGATCGGCTCCTAGATTCTCGTTTGAGAGAAAATCAAGTTCGGAAGTGCCTCGAATCGCCAAGAAGATGTCGACGGGAGTGATGACTTGCACAGGCGGAATGTTCGCAACCGAGGAAGAGCTCTGGCTCTTCGAGGCCAGCGCTTTCAGCAAGAGGTTACGAGCCATCGACAAGGCAGCCTACGACAGCAGGGACCAGATATGCGCTCAGAGATGTTGCGATTTCAAAAGATTGACCATGCAAGTTCGAAAATCTGACCTGAAGTATGAGCTCGTCCGCTTGAGGAGCAGTTTCACGAGGCTGGTCGTGCAAGGGTATATTAGAAAGTACCACGTCTGCTTGGTGTGCAGTCCTTCGAACCCATTGCAAACGAGGCGGAAGTTTTCCCAATTCGGTCGCTGGCGGAAGAGCGCACGAGATTGTGAGCTGAGATGGACCAATGTGGCAAAGCTCTGTCATCCATTCGCACTTACCGTCGACTGGTGGCAGTGCGGCCAACGTAGCGGACTGCGTGGCTGTTTGAAAGCGCGGTCGCCTGACGTTTGTATCGTGATTGTCATCGTCGACAGATAGCTTCTGCTCTGTTTCCCCGTGGTCTGCATCGTTGACAATTGCGTGCAGCAGAAGCCACACAAACAAAGCGAAAAAAAAGCGACAGTCAGAAGACATGCCAAAGAACAAGGCACGGGACAAAGCAAAGTGGATCAATTCTGAACTTACCGACACTTGCGGCGAGCTGACCGAGCAGGGCTTGCGAGGAAGACACAGTGTTGATTGTTTTGACATCTCCACTACCCCGGAAGAGTTCAAGCTGCTGCGAGCATTCCGTCGAGTCCAAGTGGGACGCAGATCCACAAAACTTGCACAGCGTCCACGGACCGCTGTAGCTCGATTTCTGAGAGTGATCGCGTCCCACACCAGTGGCAGACGGGTCGGCAAAGTGTGTCGCTGCACTCACAACAGCACCAGCATCCGCGGTCGCGTGCAAGTCGCCAGCGCCAAAGTCAAATTCGTCAAGATCCGCATGAAAAGTGTCGTCGAGCACCGCGCTGAAGAGCAATTCCTCATCCTCGACGTGCTCATGGAGCGAGTTTTGTGCAATTGCATTCAGCTGCGAGTGCCAGTCTTGCGGCAATGGTGTAAAGTTGGCATGCATTGGCGTCGCTGCGCCTGAAGCAACCAGGCTTTGCGCAATAGAGTCAACGTCCGGTAGCTCCATGAAAAATTCATTCAAAGTGGCGCCATTCTCTTGCTGGGGTGTATCAGCAGAAGAAGGAGACGGCAAGTCGGAGGTTTCCGATGGCTTGTCAACGCGTTTCTGACGATCAAAGAACGCACGATCCAAGTCGATAGTTAAGGTGGTTTCGGCTCCGAGCGTCTGGAGTCCAGTATTTGTTCTGTCAAGCTGTGAGCAAGAAAGCAATCACGTAGGATGAGCAGCGTGTACAAAAAAACAAAAACCACCAAACCAACATTACAAAAAACAAAAACAACCAACCACCCAAAATCAACCAAACATTCTCAACTCGGACACGGCTTTGACTCACCTTTAAATTATGAATAATGTCAAGAGGCTTGTTCTTGGGATCGACAAAATGCAGTTGCACACGAACTGGGAATTCGCCCCAGCCTCGGCGTGTGAGATGAAAGGGCGGCGACGTCACGTCAACGACATCGTTGGGCTTGTACGAGGGATGCAGAAAGAACTTGACGTGCTTGACAAATGGAGCGAGGTCGGGCGTTTCGGCTGGGCCGCGGACATAGACCATCCATTTGTGGGACGATTGGTCGTCGGCATCTCGCCGGTCTGGCGAAATGTACTGCGATGTGTTTCCCACAATGACGCGTTTCCGTACAAAGAATCGCGACGAGATTGCCAGTGGCGCGGCCTCCGTCAGACCAATCGTGCTGATGCCGGGTGCAGCGGCGCCGGCCAACGGCAAGCGCGAGACCAGCCCACCCTTGTCCATGTCGAGTAGCTGTGTTCCGGCCAGATCAATCACAGACACGCCCTCTGGCACTTCGTGCGGCTCAATCACGACGCCTGCTGCGAACAGGGCATCGTCGTGGCTCGGATAGAAGGTGCGATGCAGCATCCGGCAGTGGTTGGCAAAGCCTTGGTAGTTTTTAAAGTCCTCTTTCATGCACTCTGGGCATCGAACCCTGATCAGCTTGCCATCGCGGCGCTTGTAAATGACAGCAGAAGTCGCAAGTGCTGTTGGAGGGGCCGCCGGGGCCGGTGCCGGTGCGCTTTGATCTGGCCGCGTGGTGGCGACGGCAGCGAGAATGTCGTCTTTCCGGCGCGCCGACAATTTGGATCTGCAAGCGGGAGAACGCAAAGAGAAGGGATTTGTGCAGATCGCGCAATCGGGTGGCGTGAGCAGGTGGATGGAAATCGCAGGAAGTCGAGGCAACGAATTTGGTGCGAAATGACTCGAAATGAAAGTCGCTTACCCAGCACTAAGCAGTAATCGTAGTTGGTCGAGCGCGTGTCTCGTATCTGTGAGTCTTGCATTGACGAGTTCGAGCTGTGGTTTTTCAAGAGCATCCAGTATGTCGAGTTTGCTCAGCATCTTCGTTCATCTGCCTCCATACATGAATCGAATAACCCTCGCAGCATCATGCTGGATGCCAATAGTGGCTGCATTTTCCAACATTTTTCTGAGCAAGCTTGTTTGTTTTTTACCTCATTCAGTCGGACGCTGAGCTCGGTTCGCAGCAGTCCGTCGACGACCTCGCGGACACGCTCAAACTGCTGACTGAACAGCTTCCGGCGCCGACTTGGCTGCGCATCGACAGGTGCAGTTGAGCTTGTGCTTGCAGCCACAGCCATTGTCGTTGTCGTTGTCAGGGCGCAGGCGTCGTCGCTCGTGTCTGCTGCTGCCGGCGCCTCGTGTGGTATTGGCGGGAGATTGGGCTCAGTGGTTTGCATTGGCTCGCTCATCGTTCGTCCGGAGCGCGCGCCAAGGACCAAAGGAACGAGCGAATGCAGAACAAAAAAAGCAATACAACGCAATACAAAAAACGATAAGGAAGAGCGATGCAAAAGCAGGGGGGAGAGCTGTTGAGAGCTGTTGAACTCAGAGCAACGAGATTGAGGACTGAGCGAAAGCGTTCGTCTGCTGCTTCTACTGCGACTCATGATGATACAGTACTACTGATGATGATGATACTTCTTCTAATGAATGATTGAATTTTGGGTTGATTTTCTCAGACATTCAGTCCTCCTTGTTTTTTTTCAAAATGCGGTTCCACGACGGCAATTCGAGCGGTTTTTGGGGCAACACGACGTCCACGCTGGACTGGTGCGAGCACAACTACGCAGTGTGCCACTACATTGCCGAGTTCTGTGAGTTGATGACGAGAGTGTGTGGCTGTGGCTTGAGGAGGAACAATATGGCGGGAACGGAAGGCGGCGCTTGATCGTCCGAGTGCCACCAGGAGATGTGAGCCAACGCGCTTTGCTCGATGGTTGATTGTTGGATTCGGAGGGAATGGAGGAGAGGATTGGTGGCTTGGATAAGGGGGTGGAGTGGGGTGGGGTGGGGGATTTGAGTGGTTGGGACAATGGCAGATCAAAATCAATCTCAATGGTAAACTCATACAATAGGCACAGAGCAAAGGATCGCAGTGGGAAGACCTGTGATGTATTGTGTAGTGGGAGTTGCATGGAGTCGCGCTCTGAGTTTTGTTTGGATCGATTCAAGTCAAAGTTCTCTCAGTTTTTCTCAGATTTTAGATTCAGCTTCTTAGCTTCCTGAGATTAGTGCTGCATCGACGCATCAACCGTTTGACAATCACCCCCCCCCCAAAAGCATCTGTATGGGGTTGACAATTGCTGACTGTTTGCTTTGTTCACTTTGGTCAGGGAACACGATTAGCAACGTCCCAATGGCACTGCTGGCCCTCTATGGCATGTACTGTGTCCGCAAGTATGGATTTGAAACCCGGTTCCTGATTGCCTACTTTGTAAGTGTTCGAGCACATTTTGATTCCGCTCTGCTTACAATTTGAAATGCTCAACAATCTCGCAAACTTCAACGTCGCGTCCATCCCGCGCCCACTCCCCACCACCACCGCCAGGGCCTGTTTGTCGTTGGATTTGGCAGCTGGTGCTTCCACGGAACTCTGGACTACTCGGCCCAATTGCTGGACGAGCTTCCCATGATTTACGGCACCTGCGTGTTTGTCTACTGTGTCCTCGAAGACCGTCCAAAGTCACGATACGGCTGGCCTCTGATTCTTGGGCTCTTCCTGTACGCCGTGGTCGTGACGGTCGTCTATCTGTTTGTCAAGGTGGCCGAGTTCCATCAGGTCGCGTACGGCCTGATGGTCGCGTTGATTGTCTTCAAGTGCTGCTACCACTACAAGATTGGCGACCTGTCGCGCGATCCGCTGCAGCCCAAGATTTTCTTTGGCGCCTTGATTGCGTACCTCGGTGGATTTGCTCTTTGGAACATTGACAACATTTTCTGCGGCTCGCTCCGTGCCTGGCGTGCGGAGCTCCCCTTCCCTCTCGACGGTCTTCTCGAGCTGCACGCATGGTGGCACATTGGTACTGGTTATGGCACCTATCTCTTCATTGTTACCAACCAGTATGTCGCAAAAAACATTGCACTGGTTTTTATGGCTTGCAGACCGTTAATGCGATTTTTGGTCGCGTCATTTGCTCATTGACTATTCGCTGTGTTTTGTCATCTTCCTGCGTCTTGTCAGAATGCTGAGGTCCACTTGGTTGCGTCAATCTGGTGGCAACGACTCGCTTGACGCTGTCGGCGGCTCTGAAGTCCATTTCGAGCGGATTTTCGGCATTATTCCTTACGTAGTCAAGGACACTGCCGCCCCACGTCGCTCCAAGCGCATTGCCTCTGCATCTGCAACGCCTGTGACGACACGTACCCTGCGAAGCAAGCGCGACTAGAATAGTCAAAGCGGTCGTGTTGGAAGCACTTTGCCGTCCATCTCACTCGATTCATTCGCTTCGCGAGTTCGATCGTTTATTTCTTGTTTCTGCACTTGCATGAATGCACTTTGATCCATACATTGACGCTTTCCCCCCTCCAAATCCGAATCCGAATCTTCTCAGTCTTTTGTTTCGATTGTCAGCTTTTCGGCTTTCAGCCTTTCCAGCTTGTGAATTTTTTTCTTCCAACTGTTTTCCCCCAATAGCATTACACATCTCTTGTCGGGAATGTCAGCTGGACCGCGACTGGTGATTGTGCTGAGTGGCAAGCGAAAGAGCGGCAAAGACTATCTGAGCGACCAGCTCGTTTCCCGGTAAACGCACCGCACAACGCCTCAGCTCGCCGCTATTCATGAATGCAGCAGCACTTTGCACATAGTCTGCATCCCGTTCCGACCACTCTCAAACTTGACCGGGTCGAGATCAGATTGTTGCTCACTGAACGTATGTGGCGTGATCTTTTCCCTTCCTTTGGATTGGCAACTCTGTGAAACAGGCTCGAGCAACACGCGTCATCAGCGACTGCGCAAGACAAAGCAGCAGCTACATTGACATCGACGGGTACTCCAAGCGCTGGATTGGTGCGCGTCGTGCGACTGTCGGGTCCGCTGAAGGAGCAGTACGCAAAGGTAACGGCGCACACGAGGAGGACAACAGAGCGTCATCACCGTCATCATCGAAAGCCATGGATGGTGGATCCATAATGATGATGGATCGTAATAGTAGAGCAAACCCGATTATTGCGAAGGGGGAAGCGCTGGGTCAAAAGCGGACCAGAAAACATCCGCTAAACCATTTTCAATCTCAATGCGAATCTTTCACCCCCCCTCGTTGTCAGGAGCACAATTTGGACTTTCAAGAGCTGCTTGCGGCATCACAGTACAAGGAAACGTATCGCGCAGATATGATCAAATGGGGCGAGGCAAAGCGCAATGCCGATCCGTCATTCTTTTGTCGCACTGCAACTGCTGGCGCGGACACTTTTCAGGTACGTTTTCAAAACAACGCCATGTCATGGTCCATTGATGCTGATGCAAGCTCTGTCTCACTGTTGCTGCCTCTCCGCTTGATGTAGATTTGGATTGTGTCTGACGCACGAAGAGCCTCCGATCTTGATTACTTCCGAACTGCATTCGGATCCCGCTGCTTTGCTGTTCGTGTTGTTGCTTCCGACGCAGCGCGAGAGTCACGAGGCTACGTCTTTACTGCTGGCGTCGATGATGCAGAGAGCGAGTGTGGCCTGGACGGCGCTGCATTTGATCTCGTTGTGCGCAACGACGGCGAGCAAGGCACGCTGCAAGCGGGCATCGATGCGCTTGTGAAAATGGCATTGGATGCATGTTCAATGAATGCATAGTCCTTTTTTTTCAACCTTACTTCTTGGAAGCAGCAAACTCTAAAACAACATTGAGCATCGACAAGAGAACCACGGCAAACAGCAAATCATAACCAAAAACTCGCAACCCACTCGAACAACCATGCTTTAGTGAGTTGCCGGTAGACCAGATAGTTGGACAAAGAATAGCTTGCAATGGCCATCCAGCAGATTTCGGAGCTCGTACTGGTTGTCTGTGGGGCGATTGCAACGTTAGCAAGCGACGAACAGCACGGCATCAAGAACCACCAGACAACTCACTGGGCGGAACGTAAAAGAAGGAGCCGTCTGACACAATAAAGCTGCTGCCGTGGATTTGAACGGATAATTGCCCAAATACAACAAAGAAAAGCTGCAAAAAATAACAAAAAAAAAAAAAAGTGAGCAAACCTTTGCACCACCAAAATGCAAAGGCAACCCGAAACATAAACCCTTACCAATGTGTTTTTGCCAACGTTTTGATTTTGCTTCAGTGCGAGGGGCGTCAAAGTGAGGGTACCAGCCCCCCAACCGGGATTGGACACGAAACGGGTCATTTCCAGCAGGTTTTCTCCCTCAACGTTTGTGCCCGATCGCAAATCCACCTTCACCATCGCAGGCGTCTTGCAAATAGCTGTACAGACGAGTGAGGAATGTGAATAAGCGTCCCTCAGATTCACGCAAAAAAAAACACCAAAAAAAAAAGCACACGAAAAAAACTACAAACCTCGCTGCGCAATTCCTCCAGTAGGATCGGTGATGGCAACTTGCGACTGCGTTTCTGGTCGCTCACGCTCGGCCACCTTGGTATAGGCAACTTTAGACGCGTTCGGCCGGAGTTTGAGCAGGTCAAAGAACACGCGTTGCTGCAGCAAATGCGGCGCGTAGCCGTCCACCTCGGTGACTGCATGCTCGTCTCCTTCTTCGCCCTCGTCCTCGGCATCCTCCGGCTCAAAGCGGGATTCTCGCGATTTGCCGCGGGCAGTGCGCTCAGGACTGCGAGGCGCGGCCGGTTTTTGGACGGCTTTCTTGGGAGAAGCGGCGGCGGCCGCTGGCGGCTTGGCTTCAGCTTTGCTACCACCGCGAGTCTTGCCCTTGGGACTGGCGCGTGGCTCGACGTGCTCAGGCTGGGCAGCGACACGAGCGGCAGGTTTGGGTTTCTGAGGTGTCGCCGCTTTGGCTTTTTGGGCTGGTACCGGCTTTGGCATTTGAGGCGAATCTGCTTTGGCTTTGGGCGCTGGCGACGCCTCTTTGGTCTTTTGTTGTGGTGATGCAACTTTGCTGGCCGCGGCTTTCGCCTTGGTTGTCTTGGTCGCCGCGGGGGGCTTTCGGCTGGGTGCAGCTTTGGCTGGGCTCTCGTTGCGCTGGATTTCTTTGACTGCAGCACCTGTTCAGCACGAGAATTCGCAGAAAACATTAACATGAGTTGGCGCTGTAACACAGGTTGAAGCTGCCGTTGAGGACGTTTACCTGAACCACTCTTCCACCACTCTGCGGGCTGAGCTCGAACTCGGCCACTCTTTCGACCTTCGTCTGTGTGCGGCGAAAAGTTCAAGCCAGGTGAGTCAAATGAAACGAGACGAGGTGACTTAATCTACGACAACAAAAAAAAAAGCCAGCCCTCGTACCATGAGACTCTGCACTGCTCTCTTCTTCTATCTGGCGGCTCCGCTTGACGGGTCGTTCTGGCTCTGTGTTAATGTCAACCGCGACAGCAAGTGAGACTCAATGGTGGCTGGCACCCCTCGTTCAGTGCCATCTTACCAGAGGGCGCGGCACGCTTTTGTGGCTTTGCGACAGCAGATGGTTCAGCCGATTTCGAGGCCGGTGGCTGCTTTTTGCCTTTGCCGCTGGTTGCAGCAGCGGGCTTGCGAGAAGCGGCTGCGCTCTCTTCGACAAAGTCTCCGTCGTCATCCACGTCCATCGGTGCTGTCGCAGCGGCTTTGCCCTTTCGAGCCATGTTGGATGCTGGAGGCAAATCATCCTCCGCTTTTTTGGTGACCTTGGACGAGGATTTCCCACTCGGCTTGGCGGTCTCCTTTGCAGAAGCAGCTGCTTGGGACTTGCCAACAGCTTTTGCGTTGGTTTTAGATTTTGCGGGTGGTGGCGAGGTTGCTGGGGAAGAAGCAGAGTCGGCTGTTTCCTTGCCAGATCGCGCCGAGACTGGAAGCGTCCGTCTTCCTGTGAGCTTGGACGGTGCTGCAGAAGCGGGATCCATCTCCGAGTCACTCGACATGTCGACGAGAGCCTGGTCTTGTTTGGCGGGCTTTTTGGCTGGCGGCTTTGCCAGCGTCACGGATGCAGCAGGAGGCTGCGGCTTGCCTGTCTGGAGCGCTTTGGTCGGAGCCGAGGATTTGGCTTTGGCCTGCTTGCCTCCAAGCGAAAAGGTGCCAAATCCGCCATAATTGTCGTCATCTCCGGCATCTGGTGAAGGCGTCTCGTCGGCCGTGCCAAACCCCAACGCACGAGCAGACTTTGGTTTGTAGTTGGTTTCTCTACCATAATCATCATCATCATCGTCGTCGTTATCAGCATCATTGGTGGTGCTGCTGGTCATCAAGGGTCGCTGAGCCGGTCGTGTGGGTGACAAAACACTGGCGGGAGCTGCTGGCTTTGTAGCGACCACCTGCTTTGCCGGCGAGGCTAACTTATTGGCAGGAGAGGCAGGAGCGACAGGCATACGCGATGCTCCCTTATTTGCTGCCGCAGGTGTCTTTGGTGTCTTTGGAGGCTCGACGTCCTCATCGCCCGAAAAGTCGAGTCGGCGTCGAATGGCGTCTGCATGTGCTGGTGCGTTCTGTTCAAACCCCAGCGTCCCAACCCACCAAAACACAAGATATGCAAGTTGAGTATTGCAGCAACAGGAGTAGTGGTCGGGAGTTGAGCAGTTGTAGGAAAGTACCTTTGTTTCAGTCTGAGACGACGTCTTGGATGCAGTCTTGGGAGTTTTTGCCGTCGATCGCGGCGCTGTTTCACCCATCATCACCAACATCATCCATCGTCATGCATGTCCATCAGTGCAAAAGTGAGTCGCGTGTCGAGTGGTGGTGGGCGAGTTGGTCCTTGAGCTGTACCTGCAACGGCCATTGCGCTCTTGCTCTGGTTGGGCTTGGGCGTCGCTGCACCTGCCGCTGTGGATGCCGGCGCCACTGACATGCGACGGCGATGCACAGAGCCAGGCGTTCGTCCGTGACGGTCGCCGCCAAAGTCGTCCCCGTCGCTGTCGGAATCGAAAAAGTCGCCAACGTCCTCGAGTCCATCCGCGTTCTGACGCGCAGTAGCGACGCACACACGCATTCAGCAGTCCACCCACGACCGTATTCCACAAGCACACACACACACACAATGCACATTCACAACAGCGACCAAGGTGAGTTTCGAGACGTGCGCAACGAAACCAAAGCAGTTGAATTTGAGCTAAAAGGATTTTTTAATTTTTTTTTTTTTTTTTTTTTTGGCGCGCAAATTCGAAGGTTTAAAAAAATCGAATCTCGCGCGCATTTTCTCATTTCATTTCCCTTTTCTTGTTGTCCTCTTTTTCCCTACAACCCGCTTCTCACGCCGTGATCGTTCTCATTTCACGATACCTTGCGAACGTTCTGCTTCTCGGGAACGCCGGTGCGACGGCCGGCCATGCCGCGCGAAAGTTGCGGCATTTTGTGCGTGTTTTTTTGAAACGAAAAAATGAAAACAAAAAAATGACAAGTTCTAAATCTGGAAAAAAAAAGAAAATCCAATCAATGTACAAGCAAAAGAAGAAACAACAACAGCACGATCAAGGAGCATGATCAAAGTAGAGCGACAAAAATCAAAACGATAGGGTTGACTTTTCGCGAGCATCGACCGCGCTCAGATACCCGCGCACTTTGGCCAGAAAGGCCGTGGTGGCTTCGGCGTGCAGCCAGTGGCCGGCGTCCAGATATTCAATGGTGTTATTGGGAAAGAGATCGTGGATGGCATCGATTGCAGCGGGCAAGGTCACGTAGCGCGCTTTTGAGCCGGCGAGGAAGTACGCGCGTCCGTCGTATATGAGTCCAGGCGCATGCGGGAAGGCAGCCAACTGTGGGAAATCTCGCGCAATCACATCGATGTTGGCGAGCCACCGGAAGCGGGGGCCATGCTCCGAGTGCGTTGGAGCCAGATTGGTCATTATGAACTTGCGGACGGCAGTGTTCTGGCAAAGAGGTGAGAATGGTGAGTCGTCATATGGACAACGTGTTGCACAGTATGGCTGAGCAAATCACTACATGCTGGACATGCAGCAAGATGAATGAAAACAAACATGCTTACAGGAATTGTTGGCTTCAGCTGATCCTCCACCTCGCTCGGAGATGTCGCTTGAGCCAAATCCACTTTCTGCATGGCGGCAACGATTGCTCGCAGCTCTGAAACTTCGGGCAGCGCCAAGAAATCGAACGGCGCCATGTCTGCGATAATGGGTGCTGCAATCCGATCGGGATGCTCCATTGCGAGAGTCATGACGACCTTTCCACCCTGCAACCACCAACAAGACAAAACAGGCAACACAAAAAATCACCATTTTCAAATGAGAAATTCTTTTCTGAGAAATTCCGAGAAATTTCTGAGCACCTTTGGATAAAACACTCGACGTACCATGCTGTGGCCGAGCATGACTGGCGGCTGCGACACGCCGCGATCGTCCATGAACCGAAGCACGTCGGATACCATTGCAGAGTAGCTCATTGTGTCTGAATGAGGACTTTCGCCGTGGTTGCGCAGGTCGAGCGTGAACACATGTCGCGGTGCTGTCGGATCGTGCGCGAGGGCCTTTCCAATGGACGCCCAGTTCCGCTTTGATCCATACAAGCCGTGAATGAGGAGCAATGGCACGTTGTTGTTGATGCTGTTGGTGGTGGTCTGGTGGTGGGCTGGCGGCGCGTAGTGGTTGAAGGCCAACTTGACCGCGGTGTGGTGATCACCACTGTGCGCATGTTGGCCATGGCGACTCTGCAATGGTGCAACACATGTATGGATGCGCGATCGTGTGATGATGGAGCCGAATGCGCGACCAACCCGAGAGCAAGGGGAAATTGCAGTGAAATGGTGAAACATGATTGGTAACAATTTTGGGGGACTGAGCAAGTACACGAGACACGACAGGTGCATGAATGCAAGCACACAAGCTGCAAAGATCTCAAAACAAAACGGGTGGAGAAAGACCGCGGTCGATTAGCGGCGAAGCGGAGCAGAGAGGGAAACCGGCTCTCCAACCAGCTGAATCTCTGCCACCAGACGCGCATCCGATCCGAACGCCACTTGAAGCCGGGAAGGAACAAGAGTCTGCGCTCCAGTGGAGTCGACCTGGGCGAGTTGGCTGGAGGTCACTGCGAAAAAGATCTCCTGCGAGGCGCCTGGGGCAAGATGAATGCGTCGGAAGCCGACGAGCGATCGAATGGGAGGTGAGGCGAACTGGCTCGAGCTCTGGTCGATGATGGACGAGGCGTTGAATGACGCAAAGGCCAGCACGACATCATCCGAAGCCATCTTGCCAGTGTTTTGCACAAGCACACGGAAGGACACGGCTTCGACAGGCGCACGCGCCGCGAGGTGTTGCGCAGCCAGAGCAGCCGTCGACAGCGAGTGTTGGCTCGTGGCGCTGCTGCTGCTGCTGCTGCTGCTGTTGGACCACGTGTACTGGAACGTGCTGTAGCTCAAACCGTGGCCAAACTCAAACAGAGGGGTGCCCGTGTAAAAGCGATAGGTTCGGCCCGGACCCGCGCGCATGTCCATGTTGGTCATTGGCAACTGGTTGACGTAGTCTGCGGGGTAGACGGTGAAGGGCAGGCGACCGGCAGGGGAGAAGACGCCAAACACCGCCTCGGCCAGCGCCCGGCCGCCAGCTTGGCCAGGGTAGCCAATCCAGAGGGCGGCCCGAACCGGATGAATGACGTTGCTGAGGTCGATGGGACTGCCGGACATGACGACAAGAATAACCGGTCCCCGCGCGGCCGCAGTCAGGGCCAGGATGAGCTCGGCCTGGACGCCTGGGAGGACGAGCGTTGTGCGATCGAGATTTTCCGACTCGACCGTTTGGTTGAGGCCGACCACAACAATGGTGGCGTCGGCCGCCTTTGCCGCTGCCGCAGCCGCCACAAAGCCAGACGTGTCGGTCGAATTGACGTCGCAGCCCTTGACGAACGTGATGGACAGGGTCGGATCGAGCTGCTGAAAGCCCTTGAGCGGAGTGATGAGATACGGCGCATCGCCATAGTAGTTTCCCAGCAGCGTCTCGGCATCGTCGGCGTTCGGTCCAATGATGGCGAGCTTGCGAACGGTGGCCAAGCTGAAAGGCAGGGTGTTGTTGTCGTTGCCGAGCAGCACGATTGACTCTCGCGCGATTTGAAGGGCGAGCTCCTGATGCTCCTGCGAGTTGATGGCCGAGACTGGAATCTGGCGGTAGGGCTGGATGCTGGCCGCATCAAACTCGCCCAGGCGGATGCGGTGGCCAAAGAGACGTCGCAGGGAAAAGTCCAGGTCGGCTTCGTGCAGCGTAGCGTTGCCGATCGCGTCCATCAGATGCGACTGGTAAAAGTCGCCACAGTCCAGATCGCAACCGCCTTGGATGCCGGCAGCACAGGTAGCTTGCGTCGTGTTGGTGTAGTTGTGCGTGTACTGGATGCAGTCGATCGCGCCGCAATCCGACACAATGTAGCCGTCAAAGCCCCACTGCTCTCGAGCAATCTCATTGTTGATAAAGTCGTCGGCGCAGCTGGGAATGCCATTCACCGCATTGTAGCTGCACATCAGACTGGCCCCCTTTCCAACCCGGACGCACGCCTCGAACGGCGGCATGAACGTCTCCACCAAATCCTGGTCGCTCACGACGGCGTTGAAATGGAAGCGATCAATGCCTCCCCAGTCCTCCATGTCGTACGCCGTGTAGTGCTTGCACGTGGCGACGACCTTGAGGTAGCGCGCATCTTCGCCGTTCTGGAGATTCTGCACCAGCGTCTCCACGTAGCGCGAGGTCAGGTACGGGTCTTCGCCGGGCGTTTCCTGCCCGCGACCCCAGCGCGGATCACGGAAAATGTTAATGTTTGGGGTAAAGTACGTCAAGCCCGCATGTCCAGCGTTGGCAAACGCACGGGCCTCGGTGGAGATGACTTGCGCCATTGCGGCGACGCTGTCCAAATTGAACGTGGCGCCAACGCCTTAGCATGGCGAAAGGGAAACAAGATGAAAGAGAGCAGTTGACAAGAGTGAGGGTTTCGGGGTTCTCGAAATCACGACTGAGCGACGAGCAGTTGTTACCAATAATCTGAGGAAAGCAGGTGGAAACGGGCGTGTTGCCGGTAAAGTTCACGCCTGGTGATTCAGCAACGCCATGCAGCGCCTCGCTCCACCACTCGTACGCATTCACCCCGAGTCGCGCAACGCCGGGCGCAGTGGTTCCAAACTGGCTGATCTTTTCCTGTTTGCATTTCCAAATTTGCGCATTCGCAGCCACAGTTGTGAGACAACCACATGCAGCAGCACCACAGCACAGTCCTGCTCGTTGGAAGATTTCGGCTTTTTCAAAAGTCCACTCAAAAGTCCACTGTCATGATAACAATTGGTCCGACTTTCGGTACTCAATGCCATTGAGAACCCCGGAGTAACTCTTTGCAGCAGCAGCACCCCCAAATTTGCAGCGTTTCTCCGAACTCCGATTTCAAGCATCATCCACACCTGAAGAGTGAGGCGACCGACGAGATCGTCAGCGCGCTGCTCCCACGCGAGATTCGGGTTGCAGAACGGAAGGTTGCGCAGCGCGGCGTCCTCGCAGGTGAGCGCACGCGCAGTCGGGGCAACGACGAGTGCTGCGACGGCAATCGTAATGCAAGTCCAGCCAAACTGCATCATCATCATCCAAGACAAAGAAAAAAAAAAGTTGACTGGCGTTGCATTCATGCAATCCGAATGTGTCGAGCTTTGATATTGATTGATGAATGGTGAAAAGCATCACAAAATAAGAAATCCAAATTGTAATCTGAGCCAGTCTGAATTTTGTTGTCATTTCTTGGCATTGAGCGTATTTCAGGCAAAATGCTGGGCGAGCGTCGTCGTCTCAGAGCGGTCCTTCTCGCGCAGCTCTTGGCAGTAGTAGTCATGCTGGCCACTCTCGCACCCTTGGCACACGCAGGCGGACTGACTACTGGCGCGAAACCACCGCTGCGCTTCCACGCGGACGGGAGCTTTAAAATTTGCCAATTTGCCGACCTGTACGTGCAGCTGCTGCTGCTGCTGCGGATTTGCATTGGCTGGCAGAACATGTGATGGGTCGATGGGATGCCTTTTGGTACATTTGCACTGATATTGAACATTTGGTCGGCAGGCACTTTGGCGAGGGCGAGGACGTCACCTGGGGCCCCGTGCAAGACACCAATTCGAGCCGCGTTATGCGAAACGTGCTCGAGCGGGAGCGACCAGACCTGGTTGTGTTTAGCGGAGACCAAATCACGGGAAACAACGTTGCGGATAATGCCACGGCGTACTGGGCGCAGGTTGTCCGGGAATGCCAGGTTATGGGAATTCCGTGGGCAATCATCTTTGGCAACCACGACGATCTCGCCAGCGGAGTGAACGGCTCGCGCGCTGCGCTGATGGAGTTTGACACGTCCTTTGAGTTGTCGTACTCGCAGTTTGGCCCCGAGGGTCTGCCAGGAACGAGCAACTACTACCTGCCGTTGCTCGCCAGCGACTCTGATCAGGTAGCGTTGTGGGTCGTTTCAATCGTTGTGATTGCTGTTTTGATCTTTGTATATTAACAGTGGCGTCATCGTGCTTGATTTTGGTGCGTAGGTGGCCTCGTGGATTTTCTTTTTGGACAGCGGCGGTGGCTCCATTGACGAAGTCATTACCTTGCCGCAAGTCGCTTGGTATCGCAACACGTCTGCATCTCTGGAAGCGCTGGTTGGTCGGGTGCTTCCTTCCATGGCGTTCTTCCATATTCCTCTGTACGGCCGGCCTTGAACAGTGCTGTGTTTTGGACAAATGTTGACGGAGCTGACTTTATTTGTTGTTTTCTCTCTCATTTCTTGGCCTGCTGGTTCATCCAGAGTGCAATACGACGCCGTCTACTCGCCCGAAAAATGCATTGGAATGAATGACGACGGAATCACTCCTCAGGACGAGGATCTTGGCATTTTCCAGGCGTTCTTGGATCGAGGCGATGTGCAACTCACGAGTGTCGGTCATGATCACGGCGAGAGCTTTTGCTGCCCGTTGCAGACCTTGACGCTTTGTGTGAGTAGTAGCGGCTAGTTGGGGGCGGGGGGAGAAGGGGTTGCAGGTGGAATTGGGCGCATCGCTCACCCTTACAACAAACAAACGAACACTTGGCTTGGCTTTTTGGCAGTTTGGAAGGCACAGCGGCTACGGAGGTTACGGCGAGTACGTACCACTGACTGACTCATGGTCGTTGTCATTCTAGTGAGCGAGATTTGTTGCTGACTGACTCTTTCCTGCTTTGAAAATTCAATGCAGCTGGGATCGCGGTGGCCGTATTTTCATTCTGTCCGAGCCCAGCAAGACCACCACACAGCTGTCGTTCTCGACATATGTGCGAATGGAGAATGGCACCATCACGGACGGTCCCAACTTCCCCAAGCGGACCTGAGCATCATTTGAGCATTTTTATGGTGTTGAAATCAGAGTGCAGGCAGTGCAGGCAGTTTTCTATGTTGTGATTGACTTTGAATACCACGCACAATGGAGATGAATCGCCTTACCATATTTGTCCATTCTCTCAGTCTCTTTTTTTGTTTTTGTATGCTTTTCGCAGCAACTCTGCGAATTCTCGTCCATCGCTCGCCTGCTCTTCTTCCTTTCAGCCGCGCGTTCCTCCAAACAGCTCGCTCTCACTCTCTAATTTCGACAGCATTAGCATCAGCACCTTCGGATCGACCTCGTATCGCACACATCATGTCGTCCGCGTCATCATTTGCTCAGCCATCGCGCTCGCGCTCGTGGGATGCACTTTCCCAGAAGGACGCCGCTCAGCTTGACTTGGATTTGTTCAGCCCCGAGTTTGGGTTTGGAACAGAGCAGCTGATGGAGCTCGCTGGGCTTGCAGTCGCGTTGGCGTGCGCGCGCGCATATCCGCTTCAAGCAACGTCCAAGTCCGACGAGTCCTCATCGTCTTCATCCAGTTCTGGTCGCGTTATCATTGTTTGTGGGCCTGGTATGTCTGCCGGTATTATGAATGACTGGGCTGAGTTGATAGTAGTTGTGAGGTGATGGGATCTCAGTTACTGAGCACTTTTTCACGTTCCAACCATTCATGTCAGGAAACAACGGTGGCGATGGACTTGTGGCAGCGAGGCACTTGCGTCTCTTTGGCTATTCTCCCGAGATTGTCTGGCCAAAGCCAACGGAGAAGCAGCCCATGAAGGTTGGTGTCAAATCATTGCATCCGACTGACTGAATTCTGGCGAATCATCTGCTCACTTGCCGACTCAATCCTCCACCCGTCAGAATCTGCTTGTTCAAGCGCGTGCAATGCGTATTCCCGTGGTCGAAACGGTGACAGAGGATGCGTTGCGCAAAGCCGACTTTGTGATTGATGCCGTTTTCGGATTTGGCTTCAAAGGCGAGCCCCGAGCGCCGTTCGATGCACTGCTCACATCCATGATTCGCAGTGGTGCTCGAGTGTGTTCTGTAGATGTTCCATCTGGTAAGTCGCGTTGCTGCGAAACGTTTGCAGCTGCTTTGAGAACCTTTTTGTTTCATCTCGATGTTTGAAATGCAGGTTGGGACGTCGAAGCCGGACCGGACGAATCCAAGGAGTATGCCAAGCTTCAGCCCGACGTTCTCGTGTCCCTCACGGCACCCAAACCATGTGCTGTGCACTTTCGAGGCCGCCAGCACTACTTGGGCGGTCGGTTTGTGCCTCCAGGCATTGCCGAGCGATACCATCTCCGCCTTCCCGAGTATCCCGGATCCGAGCAGATCATCTTGCTGGATTGAGGCTGCCTATGCTTCTATAGCACGATTCATGCTGGAATAGGTGTCTTTTTGGGAATAGTCGATTGCTCAGTCTTCGTTTTTGAAGAGTAAAAGCCATTGTTTTTGTTTGTTGGAGCTTGGGAGAGGGGGAAGTGGCATCTCGTCGTTCCATGTATTGTGTAGAACTTGGTCTTGTCTGGTGCTGTTGGAGCGAAAGCAGCAGGCAGAGCAAAGCGTTGAGAAGCAGAACACTGTGTTTTCCCGCCAAAAAACCAACTCACTTTCTCTGCTCTGACAAACAGACTCCAACGCGTGCACTGTGGCACACAAGCAAGCGTTGCGCTCGAGAGTGCGTGCTTTCCAGGATTCAGTGCTGGATTCGCCGCATTTTGGGGGCTCCGTCTGTTCCTTCTATCGCCGCCTGGAGCAAGTTCACTTTGGGCTGGGATTTGAGCTGGTTTTTTTGGCGCCAAAACTCGTTCTGGTGACATAAATCGCTCACACTTCCCAGGACTATGAGCCAAGAGGCATCAGAGATACTGATGTGTCGCAGCATTGCCTTTTCCACTCCTGGGCGGGATACGAACGCGACGGAAAGATCAATCACATTTTGGATCAGGTCGCTGCTCTTTGTGCCGCTACGCAGAAACTGATCCCGCCTGCGTCAAGTACCTGCGGATCTCGCTGGTGATTTGAGGGAAAATCTGGACTTTTTTAGTTTCGCGCTGGAAAAGTCGGATGCTCGACTCATTGATGCAGATCCGCACGGTGCAGCAGGCCGCCAGAGAGCGATTCAAGTTGGTTTACCGCTTGCACACAACTTTGACACGGGAACGCCTTCCTCGAAGGAGTTGCTGCCAAAAGTTGTGTGATCGCCATCCAATCAGAAGCACGAGAGATGCCAGTCATCCCAGAGATTTCCACTCGAGTACGGATGCATTTTTTGCAAACCGGAAACGGTGTGGAATCAGACGAGAACGACACTCCGCTGCTGGACTGTTGCTGCGACTTTATCTTGCTTTTTCACGTGCAATCCAAAAACACACTGGATGCTGCTTTTTTGGTGGGGAGGCAAGTTTGAGAGCGAGAGAAAAACAGGAGGTTTGTCCTTCCAGAAAAGCGACTCGTCATCTTCGTATTTTTGCGGTCGTGATTCGTTGCGAAAGCTCACCACTTTGGTATCATCACGCTGCAAGATTCACTGCTCATCAGTCAAACAAACTGGTTTTTGTTTGTCGAGTTCATTCATGCGACACTTTCCAGCATTTTTTGACCCACTTTGGTGCTTTGGGCTCTTGATTCGAATTTTCCCTTTCCCCTGCCCTCCCAACAACCCGGCGTCCCTCAGAGATTCCTTTCACAAACATCCTTTCTGCGTGATACCTCGCAGCTGCACATGCCCGCACCTCGACACTGCCTTTTGCCGGCCTGCCCTGCCAATGCATTGGCACTGTCAGTTGGCTGGCTTTTCTCGTACCCTTGCTGTCAGGAGTGCTTTTTGGCACTCTTTCGAGCGGAAGAGTATGAGTGTTTTTGCCGTCAGCGAGTGTCCAATCTAACCCTAAGATGGTGATGGAGCTTTTTTGCTGTACTTTTTTTCCACAGCAGGCCCTTTGTCGCATTCTTCTTCGTTTTTTTGTTCTGATATTTATTTCAGCCTGACGATACGCTTGCCCCTGACAACTTACCATGGCGTGCTGAACTGCGATCGGCTGCTTTGGGTTGCAAGGTTGAGCTGAAGCACAAAGAACTCACGACGTTCGTTGCTGGTGACAACTTTGGCGCTGTACTCAGAAGCAGGTTTTGCGTTGTATTTACGGTTGGTTTCGACGATGCAACCTGCAACGATGCAGTGCTCGGAGCAGTCACCGTTGCTCGACGTCTTTGACGAGTGATGATTTTTGCCGATGCTGCCAATTTGTGCAGCATTCGTTTTTGGCTCCTTTGATTTTTATGACCGAGATTGCTTCGTTCAGATGCAACCTTGATCTTTTCTACCTCTGAAACCAACCTCCAGGCGGCAAGGCAGTGTCAGGGTCGGAATGAGCGAGGGCAGATTGTCGCTTGTTTGGAGGAAGGGGGAGGGACGTTGTGGAAAGCAGCGAAGGAAGCATTCAGCTGTTGTGCTGTGAAAGCAGCTCAACAAAATTCAAAGCAGCAGTCTGCACCAAGTAGGACGAGCGGGTTTGACGCTGGATTGTGCCAGTTGGTGAGCCGGACGAGTCGAGGATGGTGGCGCCAATGCAGCGCGCAGGAACCGTCTGTACTCTTGGTTTTTCGAACTGTCTTCTGTTTTACTTTGTGGCACTTCCACCGGAATATCACCGCGCTCCAACCTGTTGGTGGCAAAGGTGGCGGTTTGCTGGAAGTGCGGCAAGATGTGAGCCAAGCACGCGCAACTGAACATCCTCTCGTTCAAAGCGTGCTTCCGCCAAAGGATGGAGTTGTGCTCCATCGCTTTATGGGCATGAAAGGCTTGTCCTTGTATTTTGAATGAGCTGGGGACGTCAGTTGCGTGTGGCGGACGTTCGTGGCGAATGAGGACGTAACAGTTCGAGTTTTCACGGACCGAAGTCAGTGGCATGCAATCAAAGTGTCTTGGATTCATGTAGAATCGAGGTGTGGTGCGCACGACGCAAAACAGCAGAGAAGGAGAGAAAATCGCAGTTTGTCGTTCCGTTCTTTTTGTATTCTGGACGGTGCTCGGTCTATCCTTCTGGTTTTTGGGATGATTGGAAGGAAACTTCCAACTCTGGCGCTTTTTTTTTTCTCGCTTCCATTTCGCTTTCTTTGTTCTACTTTTATATTTCAATCATGAAACGGAATTCTTCGACGGTGGGGGAAAAAGGCGTCTGCCGGAGGCGGACTGTCTGAATGGGTGTTGTGCTCGTTGTTGTTGTGTTTGTTGTTGTGCAGATTCAAGAATCCCGATTCAAGTTTTTGCGACATTTTGGAGCTCCCGCCAAGTCATTTTAAAGATCGATCTCGTCGCACTATGCGACTCTATGCCTCAAATCGCACTGTGATCCGAGTATCGCCCTTTGCGCTACGGTGGATTGCAAATTCGAAGAGTTTGTTGTCGTGTCTGTTCATCTTCATTGTGTTTGTTCACCGACGTATGCGCTTGTTGTAGTTGTACCATGCTTATTTATTGCTGCTCATAAAGTTCTTGTGACTTTCGCAGGCTCTGTACAAAAATGGTGACGCTCAGATTCACTGAAACAACGTCAGCTCAGCTGAATTCAATTCTCGGAACTGCAGCTCCCGGTGAACGTCCGCACCCAACATGTGCGAGTGTGTAGAGACTAGCTGCTCAATCATTCACTGGTTGGCTGAGCATTCGGGTGACTGGTGGCTGACGTGTTGTCACTTTGGGTGGCCGCGTTACTCGAATTTCGATCGGAACTCGCTGGCGCGCTTTCGTGCAGAGCCAGGCATGGCGGACACAGCTCGGCCCCATCTGGCATGGTTGTTCGATGTGAACCGCAGTAGTTTCGCTGCTTGCACTTGCTGCACATGGCAAACGGTCGACCGAAATTGCCGCAGTCCTCAGCAGCGCATCGCATTTAGCTTTAGCGTGACGACTGGCCTTGACTAAATGGGGAAAGGAATTATGACTCGTAGTTACTATTGAATTAATGCGACATGTTGTTGATGTAAAAGTCGAGCGATCCAACAAGAAACAGCTCGACAGAGTTCAATTTCCGAAATGTTTCAAGGACGTACAGTCTATGTACAGTCGCTTACAAACAAAACTATCGATCGGAAGCAACAAATTTACGAGGAGAACACAACAAAAACACTTCATGTCAAAGGAAATCACATGCAACACAGCAAACAAACATCAAACAAACACGTTCAGGGAACAAACGTCTGGTTGAAAATACCCTGGAGATACGAGGTCGGGATGACACGACAAATCATGCACTTGTCCTGACGCTCAATCATCAAATCAGCACACCCCACGCAGACACAGGCGTGACAGCAAGGTATCAGCTTGGCTGTCGTCGGAGCGCTGAAACACAGCAAGCATTCGCGATCGATGTCCGGGCTCAATTCCGGTGCGGCCAGCTGCGACTGTTCGCTAGTGCTCACCACAATCGAGTCTGCAATAGGAGCGAGCTGTTCCTTGATGGTGCTGTGGCGATGACTCAGTCGTGAAACTTCTGCGGCGCTAACTTCGGCAAGTTGGGATTGTGGCTCCATGTGAGAGCTCACGAGACCCGAGTCCAAATGATGTTGCAGCTGCTCTTTGATGAGAGCGCGATGATGCTCCATCCTGGCATTTTGGGGCATTGCAGCACGAGCAAGTGCGTTGCCCTGGTCCTCGCCAGATTGACCAAACCCTTTCAGAATCTGGCCAAAGGTTGGTCGGTCGATTCGATCGGGCTCGAGGCAAGCAACAGCAATTTCCGCCACTGCGGTGGCAGCGAGTTTGTCTGGAGCACCCCACACGATTGACGCATCCAACTCGGAATCGATTTGACCCTGTTTTTTAAGCGCACGTTTCACTGCACCAGCAAGCTCAATACCAGGCTGCTTCCCAGTCAGCAGCTCGAGCAAAATCATGCCGTACGAGTAGACGTCCGTTTTGATGGAGACCTTGCCTTCATCACGGTACTGAGGACAAATGTACTGGCGAGTTCCTTGAATGGTCAGCGTTTGGATATAGCTCTGCGCGGCCGTCTGAGCTGGTGCAGAGCGTGTCAGCCCAAAGTCGGCGACCTTTGCAGTGAAATGGGCATCTAGCAATACATTGTCCGTCTTGAGATCCAAGTGGAACAGCGGCTGACGCGGAATGGCAGTCTGCACAAAATGCATGGCGCTCGCAATCTCGGTGGCAATCTTTTGCCGTTGTGGCCAAGTCAGAGCAGGCGTGCTACCCTTGCGGTCCAGACGATCGCGCACTGAACCGTTTGCCATTAGCTCGTACACCAAGCAGCAGTCGTTGCCTTCGTGAGCATAGCACATGATGGTGACAACATTGTAATGGCGATAACGAGTCAGAGCGTCGAGTTCGGCCTGAAATTGCGAGATGCCTTGCGTCGAATTCGCTGCCAAACGCTTGACTGCAACCTGTGCACCACTCCAAGTACCAGAGTAAACGTTGCCAAAGCCGCCGCCTCCGATGCACCGGGAAGGCGCGAAGTTGCCAGTGGCTTGCGAAAGCTCTTCCATACCAACGCGAAGAATAGTGGTAGCGATTGCTGGAACTGGAATGGCGGAGGACGATGACGCATGGCTCTCGGGCTCAGGCTGTGCAATTGGCGCGACCGTACTTGGCGCAACTGCGGGAGAGACGCCAAATGCAGAGAGTACCTGTCGCTGCAGCTCAGTTAGCTCCGCGACGCTTGACAAGGTGCGCAGCAGAAGTGGCTGAATGAAGGCGAGCCACTGGCCACGATCCAGCGTTCGTTGCGAATGATCACAACTCAGTTCCTTGGTTGGGATGACGGCGGCAAGCACTGTAGGCTCAAGCTCAAACAGGCAGGCGTCTTGGACATCGCGAGCACATTCCGTGCACCGCAGGTAGGTTTGCCAAGTCATACCCGTGTACCAGTACGTGGTCAAATCTTCGACAACGCCAAAGAGCGTTTCGAGCAAATTGCCTGGAGAAGCGCCGCGCACGACAATAACTAGATCAACCACATCCTCTTCTGTGCGACGATGGATCTGAACGAGCGCTCGATGATGATTTCTGTTCACAAGCACGCAATCGCGCCATGCAGTCATGTTGAGCTCAAGGTGATTCAGCCGGGCAATGACTCGCGAGAAAAAGCCAGTGTACAGGAAGGCCGTTCGCATCACGAGGGTGGCCTCATGTGGCTCGTCTTTGCGAGGATTGGCGGACCATGCCCTGCGGTCAGGCTGTCCAACAGGCAGAAACGATGGTACAAGGTAGCGGGGACCTGATGTTCCTGCGTCAGCGTCAGCGAGCGGATACAGGAGTTCGTATCGTTGAAGTAGAACGAGGAGCTGATCACACACAGCCGGATCCAAGTTCCTCCAAACATGTGCAAGCAGATCAGCGCGGGCTAGAATTCCTTTCTTGACCCATGTATGTTTCTGAGTAATCACACCAGTCAACACGGTTTTCGTGAACCACTGTGGATTAATAATGACGAGATCGTGATCATTGGCGTGCGTTTGCTCTGAAGCGTTTGTCCCAGAGACGGCATCAGCGGCTGGTGCCAAGCGATGAAAAACGACCCACCCTTGATCACGCAAAAGTTGCATGCACACGTTCACCGCTTGCATGGAAAGTTTGCACTGCGACATGCCAAGATTGACAACTTCATTCCATCGCAGGAGCGGCGGCTTCTTGTCAGCCTCCATTGTATTCGCTCGATCACGCAGAAGATCTCGGAATTGCAAGTAGCGGCCGTCAACTTCCGAATAATAGGATGGCATCTTTCGGCTGGCCTCGAGCACTGCCGCTTTGAGCTCCGACATTGTCGAGGCGCTTGCGGCTGTGCTCGCGTTGATATAAACAGTCGAGCGAATGTTGAATGAGGTGTGCGTTTGCTTAAAGCACAGAAGCAGCTCTGCAAGATTTTCTAGCTGCTCCTGATGGCGCTGCGGACTGTAGGACTTGTCATCAATGTGGGTACCGACAAGAATGATATCGGCGTTCGGAACGCGAGAAAGCAAGCTGCGTAGCCAGAAAGCCAGGCGCGAATTGCGCGAAATGGTTTCGCGAACGTCAAACAGGGCCAAGTAGATGGTACGTTCGCCAAGGAAGAACTGATGCGAAGCGAGGTACAGCTCTTGACCAGCAAAGTCCCAAATGTTCAGAATCATGGGCAATTTATCGCGAAGAATGACAGAGGAAATGTCGATTCCGTCGGTAGAGGTGGTCTTGATTGTCTTGTTTCCCGAAAAAAGCTTGACCACTGGATTGCGCTCATGCTGAGCAATGCCGTGAACAAGAGATGTCTTCCCAACAGCAGGATCGCCCAGTAACACCACACGAACTTCTGTGCAGCGAACAGAATCGGGTCTGTGTTGCACCCACATGTGTCTGGTGTGACGAAATACAGTAATACAGAAAGAGAAAGAAATTTAGTCGTTATGTGGTGCAACTAAGATGACTTCCTTACATTGTGCATGATGCATGGGCGCTCTGACGCAATGCAGTTTCCTCGTAATATCCGATCTGATTTTCGTGCAGACTAATCACACTCGCCGTAAACACATCCCAGCTAGAACTGGCATTCAACTCAAACCAAAGTACCTACAAGAGCTTCGTCAGCCTCTTGTTCACCCTGAGTGCTTCAGCAATCGCCTGCGCTCCGGCATCGCCAATCCGATTCCCACTAAGACTGTCCTCTTCATCAGTGAGCACTTTGAATGGACTCGAGTGAATCCCCCACGCACATGCAGTAGTGAAAGTGAGAAGACTAACATGAGTTCGGTCATCGTGTGTTCTTTGAGTGTGTCTGCAATTGCCTGCACTCCATCATCGCCAATTTGATTATAGCCCAAGCTGTTCAAACCATCTCCATCAGCGAGCCAATCTGTTGAAGTCACCCGCTCACTAGCATCAGGAAGAGTGAGGCGCCTTACTAGAGCTGAGTCACCGTCTTATTCACTTTAAGTGCCTCAGAAATCGCCTTTGCACCAGCAGCGCCAATCTGACAATGAGCCAAACTGTCTCTCCTCCATCAGTAAACACTCTCCTAAAGTCACTAACTGACACATGTCAACAAACGTGCGACGATTTACTGGAGCTCGGTCAACCTTGGGTTCACTTTGAGTCCATCAGCAATCGCCTTCACTCCAGAATCGCCAATCCCATTCACGCTCAATCTGTCCGTCCCCTCCATCAATGAGCGCTCTTAATGACATCCGCCTGCATGCATCAGTCAATGAGAAGCTTTACTCGAGCTTGGTGAGCGTGGTGTTCACTTTGAGTGCTTCAGCAATCGCCTGCGCTCCAACAGTGCCAATCTCATTCATAGACAAACTGCTCGGCTTCTCCATTAGTGATTACTCCGAATGCTGTCTGCTGAATCACACACTTCATGCATCAGTAAACATGAGATGCCTTACTCGAGCGCAGTCACCGCCTTGTTTGCCTTGAGTCCCTCAGCAATTGCCTGCGCTCCAGCATCGCCAAGGTGATTGCTGTTAGCGCCACCCAAACTGTACATCCCATTTATCAGTGAGCACTCTGAATACCCTATGCTGGATCACCCAAGCGAACTTTCTTACCCTAGCTCAGTGAGCGTTGTGTTCACTGCAAGTGTCTCAGCAATCGTTTGCGCTGCAGCATCACCGATCGGATTCCCACCCAGACTGTTCCCTCCTTCAGTGAGCACTCTGAAAGCACTCTGCTGAAATCACCCACTCACATGCTTTAGTGATTGTAAGATGACTTACCGCAGGGAAGTCACCGTCTTGTTCACGTTGAATGCGAGGGCAATCGCCTCCATTCCAGCATCGCCAATCTGATTCGCACTCAATCTGTCCGTCCCGTCCATCAGTGAGCACTCTAACTGTGCTTTGTTGGATCATCCACTCAAAATCATCATTCAAAGATGCCTGACTCGAGGCAAGCCAGCGTCGTGTTCACGTGGAGTGTCTTGGCAATTGCTTGCGCTCCAGCATCGCCAATCTGACAATCGCCCAGGCTGACCATCCCTCCCCCGAGTGAGCACTCTGAATGCCATCAACTGTCACATGCATCAGTCAAAGTGAGACGACGTACCGGATGAAAGTTAGCGTCGTGTTTAGTTGGAGTGTCTCAGCAATCGCCAACGCCCCAGTATCGCCAATTGGATTTGAGCGCAAGCTGTCCACCCCCTCCATCACGTGAGCACTACGAGTGCCATCAGCTGGATATCTCCCATTCTCATGCATCAGTCAATCCCTACCAGAGCGTAGTCACCGACATGTTCACTTTGAGTGAATCAGCAACCGCCTGCACACCAGCATTGCCAAACAAATTTTCACTCAGCCTGGTCATCTTCCATCAGTGAGCGGTCTGAATGTCATCTGCCGGATCACCCACTCGCATGTATCAGTCAAAGGTTGCCTTACAATATCACAGTTGCCACCTTGTTCACTTTGAGAGCTGCAGCAATGGCTTGCACTTCCGCATCGTTCATCTGCTGGCGGTTCAGACTGTCCAGCTCGTCAACCCACGCTGATACACTCTCGATACATTCGGCTTTCTCTTACTAGAGAGTTCCACCCCGATCTTTGAATCTGTCATACAGCCAGCGCTGGTTCCTAGTCATACTGCGATACTCCAGCATCGGTGCTTTTGATCCAAGCAAACAAACAAAGCAAATTAGAGTAAAGCCGTGTGCAGTTTGGTTTGGTTGATGGCCACGCACGGCCCCCGTGTCCTTTCATCGATCGAATCTAACTCTTGTACATCGTCCCTTCGAACAGGAGCAAGGAGCGTTGCAGCTCCACGTCAGACTGGTCAAGCGAGCAGATCGCGATCCGATGACTGCTGCTTCATTTTGTTCTCAAGCAACACTCGCCCCTCAATCACCGAGTCCAGGGTCCAATCGCCCATCAAAGCACACAGGTTTGACGGGTTCATCAGCGCAGCACAAGCACAGCAGCAACGAACCCAACCAACCAGAGAGCAAAACAACGAAAAAAAAAAAGTAAAAATAATAAGGAGAGACTGAATTCTAATCAAATAAGTTCTTGAACAATGCTCGTCTTTGAACGAAATGAAACAGCAAAAGAGACCAAATACAATTCAATAAATATATAAACTCGCATTTCTCATTCTTACAAACTCACAGATCACAATGTCGGCAACACAAGCAAAGCGGACTGTTGCGCTGATTGGCGGCGAGTTTTCAGGCGGTCAAGTAAGGCGAGCAAAACGAAAAGAAAAGAGCGCCTTGTGTGTTTGCAAACGAGAGACTCGCTGTTTTGAGCGTTTGAGTGCTGGAGTGCTGGAATTGGTGATGCTCGAGTTGAAGCGCAGTCAGGTTGGAGTGGAGACGGAGTGAGGGGGGGGGCGGTCGAGCAGTGAGACGAGAATGAGTGACTGCATGTGTGTTCCTCCTCTGTGTTTTGTCCCCGCTTCTCTCCGCTCTTCCTTCTGCCTGCGTGCCAATGAGTGCGTATCGAGTGGTTTCGTCACGTGACCTTCATCCGTCTGTCAGATCAACAGCGAAATGCAACGAAAAAGCCATTCAACAAAAGCCATCCATTCAAAAAAAAGCCAAAATAGCTAATCGGTCACGGCTTTTTATTCAAACACAATCATCATTTCTTACTCGTTCAATTGGACGATCGAAGAACGAAACACAAACACAAACACAAACACATGAACGTGTGGCGTTCGATGTGCATCGCTTGATAGTTGATACAAGTTGTCAGTCCCAGTGGTGGAGCGTGAATGGAGCTGCAAAATCACATTCGTCTGAGAAACGCAGCTGAGCTCAGCTAGAACTCGATTGCGCACCCATCTCACCCTGATTCTCAATCACTGCTCTCACTCGACTGCTGCTTTCTCCATCTGCTTAGCCAAAGGGCGGCGTCGAGCGTGCGCCAAAGATGATGCGCCAAGCCAAGATTGTCGATCAGGTCAAGGCTCTTGGTGAGTTGTTACGCTCATTGTTTGCTTTGTTTGTATCGTCTGAGACGAGCAGAAACAGTGTGTCAAAAAGAGTGTCACTTTGAAATATGCTCAAGCTGAGAAAGCCAGATTTTTGTTTCTCACTCGTTTCTCCTCGATTCACCTTCGTCCCCGACTCTGCACACACACAGGCTACGAGGTCAACGACTGCGGAGACCATGCATTCCCGTCGCCCGATGCTGCCAACTCGAGCGCCGATCCGCCGGCAGGCATCGTCAAAAACCCGCGCACAGTTGGCAACGCGTGCAAGCAGATTTACGACATTGTTCAAGCAGCCGTCAAGCGAGACGAGATTGTCTACACGATTGGCGGCGATCATAGCCTTGGCTTGGCGACGGTCGGTGGGCACGCTGCCTCACGCCCCAACCTGTGCTGCATCTGGGTAAAAAGAGGTGTTTTTTCTTTGGATGTCGCCAACGAATTTTTGGCGATATTGGGACGCTACGCTCATGCTCTCGATGTGCTCATTGCCCTTGTTTGGCTGTTAGGTCGACGCGCATGCCGATATCAACACTGCGGAAACGACTGGCAGCGGCAACATGCACGGCATGCCCGTGTCCATCCTGCTCGGCCTGCAAAAGCCGCAAGACATTCCCGGCTTTGAGTGGTTCAACCCCGTCATGACCACTGCCGACATTGTCTACATTGGCCTGCGTGATCTGGACGAGGGCGAGCGGTATGTCTCCAGAGCTGGATTGATGCATGCACTCGTTCTCACTTTCGTTGACTTTTTTGTTTTAGCTCCATCATCCGCAAGTTTGGCATGAAGGCATTCACCATGCATCACGTCGACAAGTATGGCATTGGTCAGGTAAGCAGCAGCGCAGCACAGTCAGCAAACGAGTGACAGCCTGAACTGAGACGGCATTTGTTCTTTTCAGGTCGTCCAAATGGCGCTTGATCACGTCAACCCCAAGCGAGACCGTCCGATTCATCTGAGCTTTGATGTCGATGCTTTGGATCCCGCGGTGTGTATTGCTTTTCGTGTGTGCGTTTTGATTGATTGTTGACTGTCACTCACCTGATCTCAAACTGTTGTTGTTTGTCTCAGATCGCACCTTCGACCGGAACCACCGTGCGAGGTGGCCTCACCTTCCGCGAGGGCCACTACATTTGCGAGGCAGTGTACGAGACTGGTCTGCTTCGCGGCTTGGACATTATGGAAGTCAATCCGGCGCTTGGCAACCACAGGGAGGTTGCCGAGACGATCGCGATTGGCTGCTCGTTGACGCGCTGCGCTCTCGGCGAGACCTTGCTATAAGCATGGGCAAAGAGCAAAGCGAGGTCCAGCACCACAGTGGTTTTGAGGTTGATGTCGCATTGTGCGTTGTCGCATTCAATAAACAAGTTTCGATTTGCCCAAGCTCCATTTTGCCTTTCCCCCTCCATCAAAAACTACCGTCGCTATCCATGTCTCATTCTAGCTTTGACCATTCATTCAGCCATTTTTCATTTTCATTCGTTCACTTTTCTACTTTGCTTCGAGTGCGACGAGTTCGATGACCGAAGCATCCGACCCGACTCCCGCCTCGTCCATGCTCGCTCCATGGTCGGTCACCCTCGAAACCACTTGACTTTGCATTTCCCACTCCTACTTCACTCACTTCTCACTTCAACTGTGTCTCTACGACTGTCTTTGGTGGTTGGCGCAGGGCTGCAATGCTCACGGATCCCGCCGTCTATGCGATTCTCGGGTCGTCGCTCTTCCTCGTCTGGCACGGCTCAGAGCGGTCGGTTTGTTTTGTGTTTGTTTGTCAACTGTAGTTCGTGTGGTGAGTTTTGGAGTCAAGGGTTGCTCACTCCATCACTGCTGCTGTTTCTTATGTAGGTCTGCTCAGGCGGTTGCTGCGGTCAAGCGGAACGAACAACCCGCCGAATGTAGGTTCTCAGCATCCATGATGATGATGACGATGGGGGAAATGGTGACATGAAACATTATCACTACAAGCGCCAATGTCCCTGAGCTTTGCTGAAAATTTCCATCGCCGCTTTGTTGAAACAGATATTCAGACAATGTCCAAACGCGAGGTGCTGCTGTTTCCAGTCGTCGGGTCGTTCACTCTGCTCCTGATCTTCTTCTTGTTTGAGTGGATTCAATTCCTGCTCATCATTTCGCAGACAGGTTAGTCTGGTGTGTGTTGGTGGTGTTTGCGATGATTTTGACGCTCAACTGAACCACTTTCTGCAATCAGTCATGGCATGCAGCTCTGTGGCATTTCTCATATCGCCTCTTGTACATGCGTGTCTGGCTCGCACATTTCCTCACGCGATGCGGTGAGTGAATTGGTTCTTGTTTGCTCAGAAACCTTGGTGTTCGCGACTCATTTCACAATTTTTTTCTCTCCTTTAGATCCGGTCTGTCTAACTGGTGCACTTGGGGCGAATTTTGCTCGATTGCGCTGGCAGTTGGTGTGACACTCGTATGGATGTACAGCGGGCATTGGCTCCTGGTCGACAGTAAGTTTTTGTTCCGCATTGAATTGAATTCGCTCGTTTCTCCGTACTCACATCTCCTGCCCCGTTTTTTCACCCTCCTGTGCCGTGTCATTTGGCAAACAGTACTCGGGTTTGGCATTTGTGTTGTCGGCATCACGTTCATTCAAATTCCCAACGTGAAGCTGGTCACCCTGCTTTTCGTCGGACTACTGCTCTACGACGTCTTCTGGGTGTTTTTTTCTGAACGCTGGTTTCATTCGAACGTCATGGTGGAAGTTGCCACCAAAGAAGCGGCCAATCCGGTACAGTGCAGTTTGTATTTTTTTTTTTTTCGATTCGTGCGTTCGCTCATCTCGTGAATCCACACACACAGATGGTCTCTGTTGCCAAAGTTCTGCACATTCCAAAGATTGCAGAGTCGAGTTCGCAAGTTTTGGAACTTCCCGTGAAGCTCATCTTCCCAAAGTAACGCAGCACAGGCATTTCATGTGTTTTTGGTTCCATGCGATTTACTTTTGCGAGTTATTTGGCTGGCACGACAGTTCGTTCACAAGCTCGCCACGACATTTCTCCATGCTGGGCCTTGGCGACATTGTAAGGGCACGCACATTCACACATTTTTTGGTTTACGTTGGATGGAACTCTGAGTTTTGCATCATGCTCCTGCAGGTCATTCCCGGGCTATTGGTTGCGTTGGTTCGCCGGATAGGAGACACGGACGCGCTCAAGTTTCGTTACTTTCAGGCGTCCTTGATTGGGTACTTTTTCGGTGAGTTGACTCTGCAATTCGTTTCGGTAGTTGCGCATTCGCCTTCCTCAATCCTGCAATCCCAACTTTTGCTCAGGTGTCCTTATGGCCATCGTGATGTCTCGTATTTATGGAGTGGCGCAACCAGCGCTTCTCTACCTTGTACCCAGTACGCTGTTGGCCGTTGGTTGGGCCACTGCGCGAAAGGTGAGCTCTCGCGGAACTTTTGATTGCATCCAAGTTTGATGTCCGCTAACTATTTCATTCTGGGTCTGCTTCTTCCTCCGTTCTCAAACACAGGGCGAGTTCCATCGATTCGTGCAATTCGATCAATCTGAAGAAAAGTACCTGCTACCAAAGCCGTAGCTTTTGTGAAACCAATGTCATCTACTGTTATTGTTGAAACTCTTCCTCCAGTATTGTTCATTGGGTGGTGTTCGCTTTTAAGTGATATGAAGTCAACGCGTCGCTGTCGAAGCGATCCAATTCTTGAATGTTGCCAAAACTGAATGAGTTGAACTTCCACGAAATTCGGATTCTTTGTGATTCTGCTGCGATCGTCAAGCTACCAAATCACAATGAGCTATTGTCCTATACTAGTTCCTGTTTCTTAACACATCAGTCCTTCATTTGTGCAAAATGCTCGACGTGCTGAACGCGATCTTTGACAGATTCGGATCCAAACTGTAACAACCTCGCCATCCATTCGAACCCAACCCAACACACCCAACACTCTCTTAATTCTTAATTCCTTTCTCTGATCCATCACAGTGACGAGTTTGACCTTGTGCCAGTGCTGTCCGAAGCCGACGCCGAGTTCCACCCGTTCGTGGTTGCAGTCACCCCCGAGAACTCGGTCAAGCTGGGCATCCCGTTCCAGATCGTCCCTGCGCTCTACACGGAGGCCAGTCGAGGGCTGATCGAGGCCAAGCAGCAAAGCGCCAGTCAAGCGACGAGCGCTGCCAGAAGCTCGTCGTCGTCGTCGTCGTGGCCAGAACATGCTGCTGATCTCAGTAAGGGCGAACTGGACGGATTTGGCATGACAGTTCTCAGAAACTTGGATAGTCAAGAATAGTATTGAGATTCGGCTGTTGTTGGCTCGAATTTACTTGGTTGTGTTTAACTATTCAATGCAGATTCAGAGATTGTTCGCAAACTGCAAGCAACCAGCCGAGCAGTCCTCATGATCAATGCTGAGAACTATACCGCATGGAATGCTCGGTAACAAAGGCTGAGCGTCGTGATGAATGATGGTTTGGGACGAGGCAGCTTGATTTTGTCTGATTTTGGGATTCTGCTTTGCTCGACGATGCAGCAAATTTTTGTTAACAGCAAAGGCCGTCGCCCTGCAAGACGAGCTTCTCTTCTTAGCTCTCGTGTTTCGAAAGCACCCGAAGAGTGGGGAGGCCTTTGCACATCGGTAAGTGGCCTGTTTTGGGCAATGCCAGCTTCTGCTTTCCTTTTGGTGATTCTCAGTGCGATGGTTTGTGTGGCTTGACTATTTTTCGCAATGATTGCATAGGCGATTTGTATTACAGCGGCTCCTGATCAACGACCCTCCTGCAATCAAGCAAACTCGACTGGCTGAAGAATTTGCAATCTGCACAACCGTGGCCAACTCGTACGCCAGCAATTATTTCAGCTGGAGCCACCGCACTTGGTTGCTAGAGCAGGTTGCCAGTGACAAAGACATGGTAACCGCGTGTTGCTTTTTTGGAGGATTGGCAGGCAACGGTCGAGAGGAACTCAGCCAAAATCAATTTTGTGATTGTGCATGCAACAGGTCAACACTGAACTCGAAACCATAAAGGCCTGGACTGCTCAGCATCCACAGGACCATTCCGGCTGCCACTACCTTCAACAAGTGTTGCTCGCGCGGTTGAGGACGAGATGGCCTGTTTTGAGCGAGTTGTTTGCCGGTGAAGGAAGCCTCGCCCTCAAGAACGCAAAGCAAGTTGCCGCCTTACTGTCGAATGCCAACTGCAATGACCTGGCCGTGGCGGCAACAGCAGCATTAACAGAGTGGCGGGAAGCGTTGAACGAATCAGCTGCTCTCCTGGAGCTCCATGCCGATAATGAAGCCTTGTTTCACCATCGGCGGTTTCTCGTGTATCATGCCTCTCTTTTGGCTGTAGCTACCGGTATCCAGGCCAGCACAGAGCTGCTGCAGCAAGAAACAACGCTTGCCCAAACGCAATTTGCTCCGCGCTCTTTCGGGTCGACCCCTTCCGCAGCACAACGAAGCCGGCTACTATCTGACTACCTGTCGTGGCTTTCGTCACTCCACCAGCACACTGCTGATTGGAAGCTGTGATACTCTTGTGCTTGCATTTGAATTGTGCAAAATCAGGAGTTTTGGTTTTGTCGACTTTGTGCCACCGTGCAAACGTACATTCGATGTATTGCCTCTTCCATTCATTTCCCCTCTTCCTAATCTTCCTAATAGAGCCATGGAACGCGCAGGTGCAGTCATCATGCTGCGTGCAGTGCCGCATCTTGACGTGCCGCCGCCATGGGCAGCACTGCTCGACAGCATGGCACTCCATCCCCAGCCACTCAGCACTGCATTGCGCATCATGTTCTCAACCCCAGGTACCTCCCAACGCGGTCGCTGCCATTGTCTTTGGCGCTGAGAACGGTGATGACGCTCGTTTCCCGCCATTTTTCTCGTTTCGCTCATTCCAACTCTAATCTGCGTGTGTGGGTGGTCTGCGTTTACTTTACTGTTATGACTCGTGTTTTGGACATGGCAGACCCAGAACAAGCGGCGTGGCCGTACGACTGGCTCGCGTTGCTCCGTTGGGCGCTCTTGCCATGCTGGATTCAGATTCCCGCCAGCACCAACCCGGGTCCAGCAAAGCACACTTCGGATTACCATAATGACGGTTCAGTCATCATTGTCAAGTACGCCTTGTTTCGTTGGTTTGGTTTGACCGAAGGTGATTTGGATGGAAGGCATTGACAACTCTGTTCGTTTGTTGCTTTGTTTGCCTGAAACACTTGTTTCAAATCACTCAGAACATGCCAGTTCTCGCGATTACCGCGGGCATACCAGCACGCCTTGTTACAGCTGATACAGACCATGCGAGACCGCTTGCCGGATGCGGCCACTGAATTACTGCAACAGTTGCAACCATCGATTGATTCGTCTCTGATGGATGCGACGACGCTCGAGCTACTGCGAACGTTCACACAAATCGACTCAGCCAACGCAAGAGAGCAACGCGAAGCACCCCCTGTTCCCATGCAGGTGGATTTTGCTGCGATCGACGAGGAGATTGCTGGAACCCCGACAAAACCAACTGTAGTCGGCTCCATCACGGACACCAACGACCATCCCTCTACACCCAGAAAAGTCCCTGGCACTCAAGCCATGGTGCAAGAGCCTGCTTTGGCGCAAACTGAATCGATTGCTGCCAAACCGAGCGACCAGCCATCCACCCCATTTCACTCTCGCCAGCCGCCAACGCAAGGCTCGGCATCTCTGCATACGCCATCCACACCGCACATTCCGAGCAGCCAGGCCGCTCAATTTGTTGCTATTCAAGCCCTGCGCGTCGAACTCGAAGAAGCCAATTACGAAGCGCTGTCGGAGGACGCGATTGGGCAAATCACACAACTGCTTCTCACCAGCTCGCCGCCTCAGGTGAGCTCAGTCTTTCGTACTCTATTTTATCTACTGAGCATTGTTTCACAAGGAGATTGCTCACTTTGAAACCCAAAACTGACTCAACTCACTGGAATCAGGTGCTCAAACTCACCCAAACCCTGGCATTGAATCAACTCCAAGACGGCGCTCTGGTGCCTCTCTGCGAGGCCATTGGTTCAGTTGACTTGGCTATTTCTAGCGCTAGTACCCTTGTGGACTCGCTGTTTGTGGCACGTGCCCGGCAACTCGGTGGTGCTGCGCCTCGACCTCTCTTCCATTGCATTACACAATTCAGCAAGCTGTCTGCCAAAGCGCTCGTCGTGGGTCTGTTTGTGCCACTGTGCGCCACTCCAAGCCAGCCCCTTGGTACCCCTAGTGCAAACAACATGGCTGTGTCGTTCGTTCGTCTGACTTTTTTGCGCATCTGTAGGAACCCACCAAGCCGCCCTATTGATTCGCATCATCCGTGAGGCACTGCCACCAGAGCATGCTTCAACAGTTTTCAGGTGCGGTGGGCTCTGATGATTGTGCTGTGGTTTTTGTTTTCTCGAATCTTTCTCACCAACCCTGTTTTGTTCACTCAATGTTCAGCTCGGTCACTTCGGCGCTGTCGCTGGTGTGGAATGATCACGTCCTCGAAGTCTTGACGGCCGCCACGAATTCCCGCTGCGGACTGGATGCTGATGCAGTCGAGCACGCGCTCGTGTCCCTGCTTCCTGCAGCCCACTCTCTTGCCAACTCTCTCAAACTCGCCAGTTTTCTGCAAGCGCTCATTGTCAAGCACGCCAATCTCGCCGCAAGTTCAAACATTGCACTTCGACTGCATCGCCTGCTCGATCTAAACACGAGCTTCTTGGCAACAGCTGCGCGCAAAGCGCTCGTCCGCCTTCAAGAATCCGCTCGTTAATACTGTATCGGTCATTTATTTAATTTTATTCTTATTGCGTAATATTGTATTGTAGCCACTAGTACGACAAAGACAATACAACCCCCTGCCCCTGACAACAACAGCAGAATCACCTTGCTTTTGCTTTCGACGCCGACGCTGGCTTCCGCGACGCTGCTGCAGCACCTTTGCCACCAGAAGCCTTCTTCTTGAACATGACGTCGACCGAGTTGTCCTCGGGTTTGGCCTCCTCCGGTTCGTCGTCCTCGACCAGGGACGACGGCGCAGATCCACTTTCCGAGCCAATAAATTCGACGTCGTCGTCAGCGGCCATTGCGCTCCGACCTTTGGCGGACGCGTACTGCGCTTCGGCCGCAAGGAATGGGTTTGGCTTTGCGACCTTGTTGAAGCGCAAGGTGAAGGCTGACTTGACGGCCGTCTTGATGGTCGGACGGGCGCGTCCGGGCAAGTTGAATTCGACAATCTCGCTCAGCACATCGCGATTGTCGCGACTCAAGCAGTACGTCTCCATGCGCGAAATGACTTCCGGAATGGCGTCCTGCTCTCGGACGGCCAGCGGAGAAGTCAAAGAGTCCAAGAGGACTGGGGCGTAGTGCAGCACGGTGGCGGTTCGATCACCAGAAGCAGACAAGCGCATGTGCGCCTGAATCGAGCTCAGGGCACGTAATTGTCCGTTAATGCGCGATGTTTTGCCGAGATAGGTGGGGAATGTGAACTGGCCGAAAGGACTGGCGCGACAAAAAAGCGAGACAACAAACACAAACAGTCAGCAATCCGCGCCGAAACCAAAAAAAAAAAAACCTACCCCCGTTCTCATTTCCTTCTCAACGACGTACGGAATGCCGCCTTGAACCAGGCGTGCTGGAACAACCGACGAAAACGTTCCAAAGGCTTGCAAAAGTGCCCAAAGTTGCTTTTTGCGGATGGCCGTTCCAACGAGATCGGACTGGCTAATGCTATCGGCTGCTTCAGCCATGAGGTCGAGTCTATCACAAAACAAAACGTGTGAGCGCATGCAATATTTGAAATACAAAGCAGCCTTCACCCTCCAAGCACTTACTCTCGAACAGGATCACCACGCGACTTTTGTGGCGTAATGCCGAGATAATTGCTCTGCACAAACAGCGGCATCAGCTCGTGGTCGACAAAGAAAAGATCGTAGAGAGGGTCCAGCTTGGCTCCATTGGCGGACGGCGCTGCGGCAGGAGGTGCCGAGAGCAGCTGGCGAGCAGCGTCAAACGTGTTCACCGTCATGTCCTTGGTGGCATTCTTCATCTCCTCCATGGCTGATGCGCCAGAGATCTTGACGTTGCCGTTGCGCCGCCAGAGAGACAAGAGATTCAAGCATTGGCGAATGTCGCTGTTTGTCGCTTGGGCCAGGTGCGACGCAGCTGCGGGGTCGAGTTGGATGCCCTCTCGCGCAGCGACAGAGAGCAGGCGTCCGGTGATTTGAAGAGGAGTGGGGCGATCAAACTTGAGGTCGTAGCAGTTCTCGCCGAGAGTTCGCAGCTTGCGATTGAAGCGATCGTTGCAGATGCAAATGACTGGCACCATGGCCGAGCGGATGAGAAGGTTGAGCTCGCCCACGCCGCCCAAGTCACCGGACGACATGCCGTCCACCTCGTCCATGATGAGCACGTGCTTGACTTGGCGCTCGCCGCCATTGGCACTGGCCTGCGAGCTTTTCGGCCGCCCTCCAAAGTACTCTGCCATGGAATGCGAACCCATCGACTCGCTGACAACCGAGCGCAGCGCCTTTTTGGAACGCACATCACTTGCGTTGAACTCGATGGGCTCAAAGCCGCACTCGCGTGCCACAATGTGCGCGGCGGTCGTTTTGCCGATGCCAGGCGGTCCAGACAGCAACGCGGCCTTGAATTCACTCCCGTCCGCTTCCGCTTTGGACTTTTTAAAGCCCTTTTTCGCTTCCTTGAGCTGCTCCTTGTTGGCAGCACGCGCAACAGGATCGAGGTTGTTGCTCTCCCAAGCCATCAACCAATTCTTGAGACGCTCGACGTTGAGCTTGTTTCCGAAAATCTCCTTTGTGGCGGTCGGGCGGTACTTTTCAGCCAACAGCGACGCCGCAGGCCGTCCATCCGAGCCAGCAGTCGCAGAGGCGGCACTGGAGGTTGAAGCAGCCGAAGATGCGGGCACATGGCGCGAGGAGGAGGACGAGGAGGACGACGATGACGCGAACGCCGAAGACGAAGAGGCGCTGGCCTTGGGCGCTGCAGCTTCGCTTGCCGCCATCTTCTTTGCCTGCTTGGCAGCGGCTGCCATCATGCTCGACGTCTCGACCGTGTTTTTGGCGGGCAGCGTCCGAATCAAATCAAACACGGCGTCATCGTCGACAATCTTGGTGCCAACTTCCTTTGCAGTGCGCGTTTTGGAAATGCCGCAGTCGCGGCCTGCGACCAAGTAGGTTGTCTTTTTGCTGACGGCACCAGTGACCTTGCCGCCGTGGGCCTTGATGAGATTCTCGAGATCTGTGCGATCGATGGCATCAAAAATACCGGTGACCACAAACGTCAGCCCCTCGAGGCAGTTTGTCGCACCCGTTGGGATTTCCTTGGTGCCAATGGCGGTCGGGCCAGTGCGATTCAGCATCTTCATGTAGTGAGCTCGCCTGTCGCGTTCCTTTTCTGCGTCCGAGCGCGTGTCTTCCTCGTCTGTGGCGCTACCAGCCTTGTGGTCGTCCCGCTTTTTCTGCGGTGATGCGGCAGCCCTCTTTGCAGGAGAGGCAGGAGTGGTCTTTTTCGCAGGGGAGGCAGGAGCAGCAGCAGCAGCAGCAGCAGCAGCAGGTTTATGGGGCGCCGCAGCAGACCGTCCGTACGCAGACTTTTTGTACGGTTGCCACTCGCCGCTCTTGCTACTGCTCGACGAAGGTTCGGCATCGACATCCACCACACCGGTGCTCTTGCTGCTGGACTGGTCGCTGGGCTTGGCAGTCGCTGGTTTGGCAACTGCAGCAGGCGGAGGCACGGATCGACGAGCAGCAGCCGGGGCAAAGTCGTCCTCAATCATGCGGGTCGGTGGTGGCGGATTCTTGTCGACAATTTCAAGAGCGTCATCGAAACCAGACTATACGACAGAGAGGGAACCGAGAAGAGAACGAGCAAAAAGTGAGTTGAACATTGAATTTTTTCAGCCCTGAAGTCAAGATCAAGCCGGTTTCAGGTAACAGCAGCACCCACGAGTGTACGACTCACCACTCGAAGCAGCTTGGTGGACTTGCGTTCAGGAACGGGCTGCTCTTCGATTCTGGGCTTTTTAGTTTCAAAATATGCCGATGTGACTGGCGGTACTGTCCGTCGCAAGCAAAACAAGCAAACATAAAAACCAATGCCACGAATGAGATGCATGAACAACAAACAATGCATCCATCTCGCTCTGATAACAACGGACGGCGAGACTGAGCACGAATTTACCTGCATTCGCTCTCTGAACTGGCTCGTCTTCGTCCGCGTCATCCACGACCAAGCGGCGCTTGAATGGAGTGACTTCGACACTCGTGCTCGCAGATAACGAGGGCTGTCGACGCGGCGAGGTGCGGGACTGAGGCGACGGCTTCGGGTTGGGACTCGATGTCGCAGCGGGCGGCTTGCGTTCGCTCGAAGTGGGTCGCGCCGGTGATGAAGCAGCGCTCGATGACTCGCGTTTGGCAGTCGACGCAGTCGCAGCAGCAGCAGCAGCCTTGGACGGCGAGGCGGTTTTCGTCGGGTTGGTCGATTTGCGCGGTTCAATGGTCGTCTTGACGCCCTTGAACATTGAGCGAATGTCCTGATTCTTGCTCTGTGCCAGATCCGCGTCAGGATTTGATGCAAAGTGTAGTTTAAAATCGTCAGAACAAGGAACACAGAGAGAGAGAAAGTGATGAGTAATGGGCTGTGCTGTGGAGATCAAGTGGGATTTGCGTTTTTGGCGGGAAAACTTTTCATCCATTTCCACGCTCGATTGCTCGTGTTCGTGCAGATCGCGTGCACAGAGCCTCCCGTCTCGGTTGCGTTTTTGTCAACAATCCGATCAATACTGTATAGCTGGGTGATATGGGGGACCTTTCTCTAGAGCAGGCTCACCATTGTTTGGGAAAATGAAGCGAGTTTTCGATGAATTTTTGGCGCCAAACACTGAAGACTGCTCACTTGATGAGAAACCCAAAGAAGCGGCTGGCTTTCTTTATGACATTGAAACAACATTCGACATTCACAACATGCGACAAAGCTGCAGAACTTTGCTTGCAATCACAGGAGGCAAGAAGCATCAAGCACGACAAAAAGCTAAGGCATCATGCTTCACATTGTTTGTCAAAACAACAGATTTGCTTTTGTAGAAAGAACGGACGATCGCACCGACCTACTGGCGGCGTTCGTTCTTGGCCTTGTGGCGGTTTTGGAGCACATCACTTGGGAAGGGCAGCTCCTCAATGACAGCATGCTTGCCTTGCTGAGGGGCATCCATCACGACATTTGCGTGTCCGAGCTCCTTCGCCTTCTCAACGACTGGACGCTCGTCATGCGCCTCGCGCTGGTGCAACTCGGCACCCGTCTCGAATGGGCGGTCAACCGTGTCGATGGCAGGGCCAGACACTTGCGCCTGCTCGATCGCCTTCTCGCGGACGCCAAGCTGGTCGGCAGGGGTGGTGCCGGCAGGCTCGTGGTGCTTGCCGTGCGACTTGATATCCTGGAGCACGAGATCGTAGCCGTGTTGCGGGGGCATGTCGGACGTCTGCGAACGAGGATGCTTGTAGTCCGGCGCGGTCTTTTGCTTGCGAGGCTCAAGGTCTTGGCGGGTCTGCTCAATGTGCTCTTCCTTGGCCATCTCTTTGGCATCGGCGTCTTGCATCCGGCTCTCGCTCCACGCATGCTCTTGCTGTGCCTTCCAGGAGGCTTGCTTGTTGGCCTCCTCTTGCTCCTCTTCTTGCTGGCGGAGCTCCTTGTGCTTCTTCATCTCGGAGCGAATCTGCTCGAGACGCTGGGCTTCGAGCTCCTTGATGCGCTGCCTGCGCTGCTCGGCATCCTCCTTGTGGGTGTCGGCTTCGGCCTCGTCGGTGCCTTCTGTGGATGTGCGCGCCGTGCGACGCTGCTTTTGCTCGTCAATCTTGGCATGCAGGCTTTCGACCAGGTCGGCGTTCTTCTTGGTCGATGACTCGGCTTGCTTCTTGTCTTCCGTACTCTCAAAGTCAGTGGCCTTGGCATCCTTGGAGTGGAGCTGGCGATCAACCCACTTGTCGTTGGTGTCCTTGTCACCCAAGTCCTTGTCCTTCTCCTCTTCCTCCTGCATTTCCTCTTCGTTGTTGCCTCCGGACAAGTATTGCTGCTGGATGTACGATGCGCCTTCGTCGATCGTCGTCTTGATGTCCGACAAGACCTCGAGTGGGTGCAAAAGTGTATGTTTGAGGGTGGCGGCGTTGATCGAGACCTTGCCGTGGCTCAGCAAATGCTCCTGCTGCTGCCCCTCCTGGTCCTCGCCGGCCGTCGCGTCCTGACCTTCGGCTTCCTGGTCAGCGGTCTTCTTGTCTTCGGCATCGTCGAGTTGCTGCTCGTTCTTGTCCTGCTTGACGGACTTTTCACTGCGCTCTGACACCTTGTCCGTTGTTGTTTCGCTTTCGCCAATTTCGGAAGGTTGCTGCGCGTCGTCCGTTGTGGTTGTCTCCTGCTTGCCAATGCCCGGCAGCAGTTCCGAGGCCTTGTTGAGGAGATTCACGGTGGCGTCAACGGGATGAAAAAGTGGCATGGTTTTTGTGTCTGGGTGGTGGATGTGGCAAGACTGTTTTGCAAAAGAAAAAAATGCTGGTTGGATGCGAAAGAGAACGAGTGAGCCCGCGTATTTGTAGAGCCAGAGCGAAAAGGGCAGAAACTGTGCAACTCAGGGGGGTTGCAGTGCATGTTTTTGCTATTTTAAGGTGTTTCTGGAAGCGAAGACTTTGTACGAATCGGAATGACGTTGGATCACGTCGACCACCCTTTTTCAGAAGTTTAACTGTTGTTCTGCCACCTTGAGCGGCCACAGCGAGCCTCCAACCGGTGGCATAAAAGGTTGGTTACAGGATAGTGCGTAACCGAAATGTTTCCACTTTGACCGCAGCGGAACAGGATTTTATCAGAAAAGAGGGGGCGCATTGCGGAATTTCGAGATGAACAGAAGGGCCGTGCAACCTCTTTTCCAACAACGCGCTCTCCTTAGGAGTATGCAATACCGGCAGTCTGGTGCATTCCCACCGTTTCGTAGACGATACTTCCTACATGATTGTGAGCGAGATGATGCACAGCGACTTTGAGCGGGGAATCAAAGGAAGCCATTCATTCATTCTGGAGATCCACGATTCCGCTCTCCGTTTTGTTTCGCGCATGAAACAAGATCGAAAATCCTCACAACAATCCTGCTCTTTTTTGGTACTGAATGAACTTCATTTTGTATTTGAGATTTCGTGCGTGCAACTGTACAATCGGGGTCTCTTCACCCCGCTGAATTAAAACAAAAACAATCCTTGTGATCGCCTACTACTGGGAACGTGCGCTCTTGTTTGTAGCCTTCAGCAGCTCTTGGGGGAAGGGCAATTCCTCAACCACTGCATGCTTGCCTTGCTGAGGCGTGTCTTGAACCACATTCGAGTGCCCGAGTTCCTTGGCCTTCTCAACGACTGGACGCTCGTCGTGCGACTCTCGCTGATGCAGCTCCGCGCCAGTTTCGAACGGACGGTCGACCGTGTCAATGGCAGGGCCAGACACTTGCGCCTGCTCGATCGCCTGCTCGCGGACGCCAAGCTGATCGGCAGGGAGGTGTGCCGGCGGGCCTCGTGGTTTGCCGTGCGAACTTGACGTCTGGAGGACGAGTTCGTAGCGTGTTGCGGGGTTTGTCGTAGGCTGTGATCGGGGATGCTTGTAATCTGGCTCGGTCTTTTGTTTGCGCGGCTCGAGGTTCATCCGCGTCTCCTCAATGTGCTCTTCCTTGGCGATCTCGGCAGCATCCGTCGCGGGGTCTGGCAGGGTCTTCATGGAGGCACGCCTGCTGGCCTCTTCTTCCTCGGCCTTGTGGAGCAGGGCAAGCTCGTGTTGCCTCAGCGTTTCAGCACGAATGCGAGCAAGGCGCTGCGGCTCACGTTCCTTCTTGACGGGCATCTCGTGCACTTCGGTGGGCTGGTCTGCCTTCGACTTGCGCGACTCGAGGTTCTTGTTGAGGTCCTCCTTTGGATGGGTGTCGGCCTGACGCTTGCTTGAAGAATCCGGCAACTCGTCTCGGGCAGTGTCCATCGACGGGGGTGGGACACTCATGGCAGCAAAAGAGTCACTGGCGCCGCTCGCATCATCCTCATCCATGACAATGTGCTTGACATCTTGCTTGTGCTTCATGGCAGCCCGCTTGCTCTCCTCGCGCTCCTCCTTCTGCAGTCGCTGGTTGTGACGTCTGTGTTCCTTCTCGCCCTCAATCTGCGAGCGCTTTTCGGCCATTTGCTCGTTCAGCTGAATCGCTTGTTTCTCGTCGAGCTGCACGCTACCAGTGTCGCGGTACTCGGGCACGTCACCAATCTCGGCACGCACAAACGATCCGTGGTCTTCTTGCACAACTCGGGAGGGCGCAGGCTGCTGCTTTGGTTGCTCCTCTTGCACGACATCTTGCTTCTTCGGCTCGCTCTTCGTGGTCTCGCGGGTCATCTCGGGAGCGTCATCGATCTGCTCGCTCTTGGCGTCTTTGCTGGACTTGGCGTCTTTGTTGGATTTCACGTCTTTGTTGGACTTGACATCTGTGGTGGACTTGTCGACCTTGCTAGACTTGACATCTTTGTCGGCCTTGTTGGCTGGCTTGCTGGACGTGTCGGCCTTCTTGGTATCAGGCGTGCTGCGCGTCACTTCCTTGGGCTTGGTTTCGTCAAGCTTCTGGCTTTGCTGCTTGTCGTGATGCTCGGGCGCCTCGTCGTGCTTGACAACATCCGAGTATGACGGATGACCGGAAGTGGAGGCAGCGGTGTGGTGTTGATCAACAGACTTCTTTTCGCGCGACTGACGCTTGTCTTGCTGGACGTGCTCGCTCTCCTTAGACTTGACAGAAGAAGTGGCCTCGGACTTGGAAGACTGCTGCACAAGCTCCTCTCGCTGTTGCGAGGACTCTTTGCGCCGGGCCTCGGCCAGAGCAGCGCGCTTCTCGCTTGCAGACTCGTGGTGCAAAGTCACCTTGTGAATGGATGTTGTGGCCTCGACCTCGACGGGCTTGATGGGCCGGGGCTTCTCTACCACCTTGTCCGAAGCAACGGCAACGTCGCGAACCTTGATGGACGCCATGGATGCTGCCTGGATGCGCTCGATGGGCACTTCCACTTTGAACTGTTCATCAAGACACAAACAAGTCAGCCCTCATCCAATCCTTCCATCCGCCAAAAACCACCACGCCATCGCTTCAGCCGTACCGTCTTGGAGCCAAAGTCAATGGACAGATCCTGATGCTGGAACTTGAGCTTCTGAAGCTGGAGAAGGGTGCGCTCGACCGTCACCTCCGTTTGTTGCTGCTCGATGCGCGCGAGTTGGGCTTGGGCGAGCGCGTTCTCGTAGCCTTGCTTGTGGCGCTTCTCGAGTTGAGTCGCATGCTCAAACTTTTTCTTGTGCAGGAGCGCCTCAGCCTTGGCGGCCGCTCGCTCGTTCTCAAACTTGACCGCCTGCTCGTGGAAGCTGGCTCGCTCGTGCTCGGCCTGCCACTCGTTCTGGATGGCCGCGTCACGCTCCAATTCCTTGGCTGGCCAGGTCGCTTGGGCGAGATTGTAGTGCTCGTCTGCCTCCTGAGCCAGCTGCTGCGCCTGGAGTCGCAAACGGTCGTGGGTCTCGGCAACCTTGGTCGAGAAGCTTTCCATCTCCTTGGCTCGGTTGAACATGATGGAGGCTTCCTTGACTTCAGTTTCGAGCTTTTTGACCTGGGCAGTCACCGTCTCTGACTCCTCGGCGGCCTCGTTCTGCTCGGCGGGTGCCTTGAGCACGTCCACATGCTTGTCGTGGGTCTCGGTTGTGATGGTCGGTGTTTCGACACCCTGGCCCTCTTGGATGCCCTGCTCCGCGTGTGCATCATGCTGTTCGTCCTCCGTGTGATGAGCTTGGGTGGAATGGGAATGCTTGCGAGTCCTATGGCGGGAAGAAGCCTCGTGGTGGTGGTGTTGCTGCTGCTGCTGCTGCTGGTCGACGGTAGGACTGCGCGACTGGCTCGCCCGCTCAGACTTGTTGTGCGCCGCCTGCATCTTGTCCTTTTGCTTTTGCAGCTTCCGGGCCTTGCGACGCGTCTTGGTCTCGTCAATCTTGGCCTGGAGCTTGTCGGGGAAGGACTCGGAGAGCTCATCGGCGTTCTTCTTTTCGACCATGAACGCAGTTGGCAGCGCCTTTTCGTGCTCGACCTCCTGCTGGCGGCGCTTTTGCCACTGCTTTTGGCTCATGCGATGCCCGTCCCATTGCTGAACGTGAGAATCCTCCGCGGCGTCTTTGGTATCGGGGCGAGATGATTGGGCGGCATCCTCCTCATCAAAGCTCTCAGAGTCCAAGGCGACGGCCTGCTCGTACTCTTCTTGGAGGTACATTGCCCCATCCGCAATGGTCTCCTTGATGTCGGACAGGGCTTCGACAGGGTGCATGATGGTACGGAGAAGCGTCTTTGGCGTGAGCGAGACCTTGCCGTGCGAAACCAAGTGCGCACCTTCCATTTGCGTCGGGATGGCGCGGCGCTGCTCAGATTCATGCGTTTCCGAGCGGTGCTGCTGCTGACGTTGTTGGTGCTGCTGCTGCCGCTGCTGTTCTTCCTGTTGTTGTTGCTCTTGCTGCTGCTGCTGCTGCTGAGGCTTTTGCTGCTGCTTGAGCAATCCGATGCCAGGCATCATTTCCGTGGCGCGATAGATCAGACTTTTCGTCATATCGACGGGATGGAAGAGCGGCATGACTTTTTTTTTGTTGCTGAGGGCTTTTTTTGTTGTTAGACTTTTTGTGATTCACAGGGTTGAGGTGCTCTTGTCTGTTTGGAGGAGTGAGCTGCATTTTTGCATCGACAAAAAGGAGGAAGGCAAAAAAAATGAAAAAATCGATGTGAATGCTTGAATGTCGTTGTGATTGAGGGGAGTATTGATCGGGGCTTCAGCACCACTGACATTCGTAATAAACTTGCACGTGCTCAAGAACGCGACAAGTCTCAGTTCTATTTCGTGTTTTTGAATTATTGCAACAATGGTCGATGTAAGCGAATCAGCATTGAACAAAACGACAGAAACGCGGAACATCCTTTTTGGTGCTTGGTTTCTGAGCTTGGAGGCAGGATTTGAAAGTGGATTTTGGACACGATGTAAAATACATCGAGATTATGGTGACTGCAGGAGGCAGCCAGAGAGAGAGAGAGGCGGGGAAGATGAAGGGAAGGAGGTGCAATGTGTATTTTCCCGTTTGGCTTACGTGACCCGGTCCATTGCGCTCCTTCCCGCTTCCTCTCCGCGTTGGCCTTGTTGGCGGGGTAAACACGTTGAGTGTGCCATGGTCCAAGTATTGAAGCTGCTTTCCCTCTCTGCTTGCTGTTCGCCGGCATCAAATAAAATTAGGGCTTTGCCCATCTTGTTGTTCCTCGGCTCTGACTCGGACTCGGACTCCAGCTTGGACTCGAGCTCGGACTCTGGATGACGTGTTGGTCGATGCCTGAAACGAGTCGTGAAGGAGGACGGGTTCTCAGCCTCGGGCTAGGGGCTGTGGTTGGGCTGCTTTGCCATCCAATGCATTTTGCATTGCGTCTCAACTGCGCGCGCGCTTCTGCTTACTCATTGTCATGATTTTCAAAAGACGTGCTTCAACTCATCGACGGGTGACATTTTGATTGTTTTACTCTACAGACTGACGAAGAGTACGTCAAGATTATCAGCGCAGACAACTTTGTCTTTATCGTCAGCAAGCGTTGCGCGACCGTTTCCAACACGATCAAGTCCATGCTCTCTGGTATTTGCTCATCGTCGTAGTGTATTTTTGGTGCTGCGTGAAAGTTTGTGTCTGCCAGAGGAGAGGGTGGGAGAGGGGTTGAAAGATTTTGATCTCTTTCGTCGGGATGATGAAATTCTTGTCCTTGCCCGTGAGACTCATCTGAACTTGCATATGCACAACTTGAACACTAGGTAACTTTGTGGAGAAGAAGAACAACGAGGTCCACTGCCGTGAAATCCCGTAAGGCTCTGTTTTTTTTTTTTTTTTTTCATTGTTTTCTGCGCATGTTTGCCTTCCATGCTCTGCTCATTCGCACCCATCGCGCATCCTGCTTGTCCGCACAGCTCTGGAATCCTCGAGAAGGTCTGCAAGTACTTTTACTACAAGGTCCGCCACACCAACTCAACATCCGAGACGCCCGAGTTTGACATTGAGCCTGAAATTGCAATTGAGTTGCTGATGGCCGCGAACTTCCTCGATGTTTGATTAAACACAACGGTTGCATCATGTGTATCTTGTTTCAAAGGCAGTGCCGCGCTGTACTGAGTCGTCTATGGACTGGCACGGTGGTTCAGCTCGATTGCTGATTCTGCGTTCATTCATTTTGACCGAAGTTGATCTGCTGGCTTGAGGCTCATCCACTCATCGTACGAGGCGGTAGCAATCGCTTGTAGAGTGCTGGTGTTGGTTCATAACGTGCAGAGTCGGAAGATTTCGAAAAGTGGAGTTTCGAAATATTTTGTGAAAAATTGTGAAGGACTCGCAACTCCATTGCAAACCCCCAGGGAGACTCGCGAAATAACCCTATCTAGTATACTTCAAAGTATTGTAGTTGATTGTGGCCCTGTCGTGCGCCGGAAACGCCGAATAGATATTTTGAAGTCGCGTTTGTGGCTTCCTCGCGAATTCCGCTTGTGAACAGCGTGGATAAAATGGAAGAACCTTGAATTTGTTGGTCAGACAATGTCGCTGCAGAATGGGTTTTGATTGCGCTTGGCAGACTGAGCTGCAACTTCGATTAAAGTTCAACCAAAATAACGAAAACAACCCAAATTCCAGCAACGTCCTTTTTTGCAAAGAGCAAGCCAATTGGAGCCGCCAAACCTTCAGATCCTGACAAAGACGTGACGAATGATGTGAAAAAAGGGCAAATGATGAAGCGTAATGGCTGGGAAAATTTTTGAACTTTTTGAAACGCCTTTTTGTGGACTTTCTGAAACGAGGACTTTTGTTTGAAGTAGTTCGCCAAACTGCAGACATTTGCTCGCAGCGCACCGAGACAAATACTGTGCAAGAAATTTCTAGCACTCTATCATTTTCTGGATCGAGCGATTGCAAATGAGCTGGTAGGGTCTGTCACTCATCGACGAGAACAGCACAGCCCAAACAGCTCAGCACTCCATCGTTCGCAGTGCAAAAGTTGCCCTGAAACTCACGAAATCAATTCACCCATGAATTAATACATCCAATACAAGATGTGCGGCGCTGGATTTGGATCGCTATTGGTGTGATATTGGCTGCGCAAGCGAGTGGTTTGTTTCAGAAACTTTTTCAGATTTGTATTTTCCTTGTTGGACATGAACTCGACAGATCGCACGCACGCTTCTGCCTTGGATCGCAATAAAGTGTGACCACACCTGTTCAGTGTGTCGATATGGAGGCTGGCGAAGGAGTGGCGGGAATCGAGGTCCAGAAGGAGCAGTTATCGGTCGATTCGTTTTCACTTTTGCACTGTTTTCTGTTTTTCTGTTTTGGTTTAAGGTGTTGCGTTTTCGTTGCAAACAGGACACATGTATTATCCATTTTTGATGGAACAAGCTGCGTTTCGCATGGGGATCAGCAGCAGCAAGCTGCAAAAGTGTTGAAGGTCCAATTCAAGTCAACGCCAGGTGACACATCGCCCCTTCTCGCTTGATCCTTCCTCCGTTCGTCTCTTTGCGTTCGTTTCCCCCCCCCCTTCGTTTGTTTCGTGACCAAACGCAATTCTCCACGCAATCCGTTGTTGTTGATGTTGATGATCGCTTCTTTCGTTCCAAAAATCGCCGACTTGCCGAAAGTGACACCATTGAGAAAAAAATGTCACCTTCGCTCCCATCAACGCGGCTTTTTCCATCACATCCGTCTCGCATGCGAGTGTATCTCGGGGTTGGGCTGCTGTACTAAACCAACTTCCTTCCGCTCCTTCCTCTCTTTTTGATCGCGCCGCGTTCTGAGCGTAGGTTGTGCGTCAGAGATCTTGATTGACGCCCTTATTATTATTTTTATTATTATTTTTTTTTGCATTTTTGTTGATTTTTTTTGTTTTTGTATTTTTCCGGTTCCTACTGACTCCTGCGTTCCAATTGCACAAATCCCACTTTGTCCTCCTCCTCTTTTCATTATTTCTCTCTTTCACATCGTTTCTTTCTCTCTTTCTCTCTGGGTCTTGGGTGCAGCCTGCAATCCCCGTGGCACGCATTCGCGCTCTGACTCCGTTTTGGTCATTCACGCCCAAATGCAATCTTTGTCAGTCGTTTTTTGCCTTTATTTTTTTTTTTGACTTTTTGTTCAATGCGTTCTGCCTGCGCACTTGTGGCCTTGTGCCTGGTCGCTGTTGCCGCCGTCCAACCCGCCGCCGCCCTGCCACGGCCCATGGATGGTCTCCTGCGCACCCTCACCGCCGAGTACCAGCAGGTAAAAACTCTCCACAAACGCGCGGGCGAGCAAGCGGAGCCATCGCACAGCCTCACCAGACTTTTTTTTTTTTTTTTATATTTCTCCCTTTTGGATTTGCGGCTTTTTTTGTTTTTGCGTTTTCCGCCCTCGCTCCTTCCTCCCCCCAACGCACGCCTGTGTTGAGCTGCACATCCAACCCTGTGCGCTTCCTCCTCGTGAGCCCCCTGCGCAGCTCATGCAGTGGAAGGCGAGAGAAGAGGACAGAAAAAAAAAACCAAAACATGAAAAAAAAAAAAAAATACAACGCCCCACACGGCCCTCTGGCTCCCGTTCTCGCTCCTTCTCGCGCGGTTGCTCTCTCGCCGCCGCTCTTCTCCGCCGTCGTGTGCAATGAGCTTGCGTTCCAGTGTTTTTTGACACTGTCGAGCGCGACGTCTGACGCAACGCAACAAATCCTACAACAACCCAAAAAAAAAAAAAAAAGAGACGGTTGCCTTTTTGAAAAAAGAAGAAAAAAAAAAAAGGCGGAAAAAGTCACTTGATCCATTGGCGGTTAATGACCAGCCAATAAACCATCTGACTTGTTGTTGCCCCATCATCGCGTTTCACTCCGCCTTCAACTTGCGATGAAGAAGGAGAAAAAACAGCATGAAAATAAAAAAAAAATAAGAAGGGAGGAGCGCACAATCGCCGATTCAAAACGGAAGGAAACAACAACAATACCAAAACGCATTCAAAAATCGGGATCGGCTTGGATTGCCGAAGCTCGGGAAGGGGTCTAAACGATCCATCCGCTACCAAAGTTCACGATTTGCGCTCGTCTTTCCTACCTTTTTCTAGCATTTCTCCATTTTCTCCATTTTTCTTCTTTTTCACGATTTTTTTTTCTTTTTCGTGACTTTTACCTCGTGCTCCAACACGCCCTCGCTCATTGGCCACCGCTACTCCAACCCGCACCCCCATCTACCTTTCTGTCCTCCCTTCTTATCATGCTGACCTTCTGTCACACCCAAAAATCTTCTTTGGCCAGTTCTGCGACTCGCTCGAACACTCGACCATGTTCCCGTACCGCTGCACGACCGACGAGAAGGTCGCCGCCAAGAGCCAGGCCATGTCTGCCCTTGCCTCGGTCGCTGCCGCCAAGACGCTCGACCCCATCATCTTCTTCCCCGGTCTGACTGGCTCTGGCTTTGAGGCCAAGTTCTCCAAGTCGTCGACGGTCGGCGCTGTCTGCCGCGCCAACCGCGACTGGTTCCGCCTCTGGATGGACGCCGCCCAGATGCTCACCCCCGGCTGCTTCCTCGACTCGATGGACATCAACTACGACCCCGCCACCGACAGCTACAGCAACACTGAGGGCGTCGAGATCCGCGCCATTGACTTTGGCGGCGTTGACGGCTTTGAGTACCTTGCCTACCTGTACGGCGTCAAGCTGTCCATCCAGGACACGTACCACGACATGGTTGCCGCCTTCAAGTCTGCCGGCTACAAGCCCGGCCAGAACCTGCGCGGCGCCGTCTACGACTGGCGTCTCCCCACGGACAAGCTCTTTGGCACTGGCTACGGCGACCTCGTCCAGGCCCTCATTGAGGACACGTACAACCGCAACGGCAACTCGCCCGTCCACATTGTCTCGCACTCGATGGGCGGCCCCACCTCGCTCTTCTTCCTCAACTCGATGACGGACGCGTGGAAGGCCAAGTACATCAAGTCGTACATTCCCATCTCTGCCCCTTGGTCTGGCTCCCCCTCGACGCTGCGCAGCCTGCTGTCCGGCGAGGCCCTCTCCCTCCCGATCAACGAGGAGAAGTTCCGCCTGCTCTTCCGCGCCATGACCCGCGAGGCTGGTGGCCCGGTCTCCCTCCTCCCCAGCATCAACCCCGAGTTTTGGCCCGCCGACAAGGTCTTTGTCCGCACCCCCACCCGCTCGTACACGATTGCCGACATTCCCCAGCTCTTTATCGACGCCGGCACCCCGATCACCGCCCAGGTCTACGCCAAGGTCAAGAACGTCCTCACCAACCTGAAGGCCCCCAACGTGCCCACCCACTGCGTCTATGGTGTTGATGTCCCCACCCAAATCTCGTACACGTACACGTCCAACTGGGACGACATCCCAACCATCGAGTACTCCAACTATGGTGATGGTGTTGTGCCGATTGAGTCGCTCCGACGATGCCAAGACTGGGCTACCCAGATGACCGCCACGATTGACATTAACGAGATTGGCCTTGAAGCTGGCAACCATTTCAGCATTGTTCAAGACCCCGCAGTCATTTCGTACATTCTTTCATTGACGACTCATTAAGGCCAAAAACCACGCGTCCGTTTGTCTGACGGACGAAAGCTGGCTGCACCACCAAAAACCATTTTGAAATCTTTTATTGGGCCCCTATTTGTACATGTATTCTGCGGAGGAGCTCTTGCAATTCTCTCCCCCTTTCCGTCTCTCTCACGAGAACAGGGGGTGGGTGGGTTGTTGTTGGGTTTGCCGCATTGTGTTTTTTGTGTCTTATCTTTTTAGCGCTCGAACAATCCCGAGTGCGTCGACTTGTATACATTTTTATGTTGATCCATTGAACGAATACAAAACTTCAGTTCTAGTACTTTTTCTGTTTGGTTTGAAATGCGAGGGAAGAAAGAACAAAGCGCGGGAACGAAACGAAACTTGGAAGTTCAATTCTTCTGATCCCATTAGAGCGTTCAAACAACGTTACTTGCCTTGGACAATGACGCAATACTCGACGCAATTCAATAGCGAAAATTACAATGCTCCACAATAGGCCCAAAAAGCAAGAGCTCACTTCTGAATGAGCGCTGCACAACATTGTGTCATCGCTCGCTCGTTCTTGCATTGCCTCACTCGATCGATTCACAGGCCTCCATCGTCCCGCTTCACCATGTCTGCTTCCAATAGCTCCAGTAGCAGTAGTAGTGGTAGTAGTAGTGGTAGTAGCAGTAGCAGTCATACTCAGCTCTGGACCATCTCGCCCGATCAGCCATACGCCGCAATCTGTACGTTCAACCCGCCGACAGACGTTGCCACCATCCACTCTCCATGCCATTGCGAGTGCAACAATTGCCTTGTACTTTCCCCATAGCTAGCTTGAGTGTGGGGGGGGGGAGCTTGAAACCTGTGCGCGCTCAATGCTCAGCCAAAGCCAAGAGAGCATGTGGGCCTGCGCGCATTCAATCAAGCTCAATCTCACCGACATGTTTCTGCTTTTGGTGATCATAATGGTGTATGTGTACGAATAGATGAGCAAGTTGCTGGCGCGGCCGCGTTGCTGGCTGCCGACGAAGCCGTCGTTATTCCAACTGAGGTCAGTTTCGTACATTTTGTTGCATCACCTCACCCCCCTACACCCGGTACCCGGTACCTTGCACTTTTGACATGACAGCGTTGCCATTGCATATTGCAATTGGCAGCAGCAACAAAAAGAGGTGTACCGACGCACGTCATCCCTTTGTTGTTTTTTGTCTCATTGCCGACCGCTCTGAAATGTTGCAGACCGTGTACGGGCTGGCTGCGAACGCCTTCAGTGACGATGCCGTCGCCAAGATTTTCCGTGCAAAGAACCGCCCGGCAGACAATCCACTCATTGTCCATGTCGCAGACGAGGTAATGGCTTGTTGTTGAGAGTCACAACTATTGCAAAAACAGCGACTCGACGTGCGTTACTCACTCCCCACGGGATTCTCATGCGACAAAACCCTCACAGTCGCAATTGCGGGAAGTGGTAGAAGGGGAAATCTCTCAACGAGAGCAGCAACTGATTGCTGCGTTCTGGCCCGGGCCCTTGACTTTGATTCTTCCACGCAAAAGTAAATCAACCGACATGGTTGCGTGGTGCTGGACTATTTGGTGCATCGTCGTATCTAGGAAACTTCCACAGTCATGATCTCACTCTGCCTTCTCTCTCTGCTCCCTTCGGTTGACAGTCTCCGTCTCGCGACTCGTCACCGCGGGCCTCACCACGGTCGGTGTGCGCATGCCATCGCATCCTGTAGCCAAGGCCATCATTGCACGATGCGGGTAACTGCCGGATTCCTTCCAGGGGGTTGGGGGTTGACAATCACCTGTTCAGACCGTCAGAGCTCACCATCGTTTTTTGATATCTTTTTTTTTTTTTTTGCCTATGTTCAGCAAGCCTCTTGCTGCTCCCAGCGCCAACATCTCGGGGCGGCCTTCGCCAACCTGCGGCGCTCATGTTATCGGCGACATGATGGGCAAAGTGGCTGGAATTGTCGACGGCGGTACGGCTCATCCTTTGTTTGCGTTGTGGACCTGCGTTTTGTTGGTTGTTCTCACATTGCATTCCCCGTGTTCAGGCGCGACTGGAGTCGGCGTCGAGTCCACTGTCATTGACTGCTCGCCCGAGATTCCCATCATTTTGCGACCAGGTACTGCGGCCCCCTCTCGCTCAGTTTTCACATCTAACATCCACTCAACCCAATCCAATCGTGTCCTACAGGTGGCATTACAAAGGAAGAGATTGAAACCATCATCGGACCTGTGACATACGCACAAGAGCTTCATTCAAACGAGCGGCCCGAGTCTGCGAAAGACGTCAGCGCCTTGTCTGGTCATGTTCCACGAGCTCCGGGAATGAAGTATGCGCACTATGCTCCCAAGGCACCTGTCACGGTAGTCGAGGGCTCGCCACAGTTCTTGCAAAGTCTTGTCGACGCGCATCATCAGCAACATCCGACCTCCAAGGTGAACAAACCGAAAAAAGCGTTCGTGACGAGACAGCACAAATTACACTCACTCTCTGCTCTTCCTATTTTTGTCACAGATCGGAGTACTCGCAACGGACGAATCCCGGGGCCAGTACCGCGCAGACGTCGTCGTGACCTGCGGAGCGCGGTCGGACGTGGCATCGATCGCCCGAAGCTTGTACGACGCGTTGCGCCAGTTTGATATCGCCACTCCGAGTGTCGATTGCATCTATAGCGAGTCTTTCAGCACCGACGGCCTTGGCGCCGCTGTCATGAATCGGCTCCTGAAGGCAGCGAGTCATCAAGTTGTGCGGGAACACCATCAATAATGAGTTCCCAGAAAAAAAAAAACCCCGCACAAAATACAAGTAAAAATTTCCAAAACACACCAATGTTGAAAAATTTCATGTAATGCAAACAACAAAAAGACACAGGGGCAAAACACACCAAACACAAATGAAAGCGATCACAAAAGCACAGCAGCAACAGAAAACGAAGACGCCAAAATACTGCAGCCACGCCACTACATCTACTCGTTGCTGTTCTGTCGCAACGAGGAAAGACGCTTGGCAGCGGCGGCATGCTTGACAATGCCGAGCATGTTGCCCTTGTTGCCAATCGACGCACGAACAAGGTTCCAGCGGGCAATGGTGAGAGCGCGCTTTTGACGGGACGAAACGGCGCGGCGGACGTTGGGGTTGATGTCTCCCTTGGAGAAGGTGACTTCGGAGGTGGGTACGGTCCAGTACAACTCATCGGTGAAGAGAACACGCTCGGACGGAATGAGACGCTGGATGACGTGGGCCGAGAAAATGCCAGAGGAGATGGCAATCGCAAGAGTGATGCCGATGGCTGCAAGCTGGTAGGCATACTGCGTCGACTGGGGGTAGGCTTGGCCTGCAGGGCCGGCGAAATTGGCCTGGGCAGCGGTGGCAATGACGGAGGCGGCGCAGCCAATGAGACCGGGCATGCCGTGCAGGTTGTGGACACCGCAGGTGTCGTACAGGGAAATCTTCTTTTGGAGCCAGGGCTGCGTCCAAATGTAGCCAGCGCAGCTGACCACGCCAGCAACCGAGCCGACAGCGAGGGCGCCTGCGGGGCTGACGCACAGGTTGGAGACGGCGCCGATAGCAACGCCACCGGCAAGGGTGGCGTTCTGGATGTCGACGACTTCAAAGCGACCCTCGCCACGGAGGAGACGCGATGCATAGAACGAGCACACGCAGGAGCCGACAAGCGACAGGACAGTGTTGATGGTGATGATTTGCTGTTGCCCTGGAGCGGCCAGCGCCGCGTTGAAGGACGGCCACAGAATCCACAAAAAGGTCGTGCCAATGAAGGAGAAGATATCCGAGTGGTACGAGTTGGAGTTGTCGACATACGAGCGCTTCTTTGGGTCGGGCGAGAGAACCCACGAGGCGGCAAGGCCAAAGTACGCGCCAAAGGTGTGGATGAAGATGGTGCCGCCGACGTCGAGGGCCTTCAGCTTGAGCGAGCCAACGAAAATGTTCAGGCCGTAAAAGATGATTTCCAAAAAGGCCAGCCAGAACATTTGATCCGAGCTCACCTTGCCGAGCAAGGCACCGAACGAGATCATGACAGCGGCGGCGCCAAACTGGCCGTTGGTGAGATCCGACTCGTTCAGGAGGATGGTTCCGAACGAGTTGTTGGACGCCTGGGAGAAGAAGCGCGTCACAAGAATGGCCCACTCGATGCAGAATGCGGAAACAAGGAAGGTGAAGCCGACGGCGCCGTAGCCAAACTTTTTCAGGAAGGTCATGAGGAAGCCAAAGCCAACAAAGATCATAATGGACACGTCCTTCTCAAAGCCGTAGACGGGCAGGTCGCTGGTCTTGTCGTAGTCCGTGAAGGCTGCATACAGGGCAATCATGGCCACCTGAATGGCGCCAAACGAGCCCAATCCGTCGCGACCAAACCAACGACGGGTATGGTCATCGATCGCCTTGTCGGGCTCCGGCAGGCTAATCCGCACGAGCGACTTGGTGGACAAGTAAGCAGACGCCGACGGCGAGCCCAGATGGTGCGGGTGTCGCTGTTTTGGTTGCTGCTGTTGATGCAAGCTCTGAGAAGAATAGACGGGTCCGTCCCGGTCCGAGTTGATGGACGCTCCCGCACCGCCCGCGATCAATGGCTTGCGCTCTGACGATGACATTGTTGCGAATCTATCGCGTTGTTGCGACCATTTCCACCAACAAAGGGTTGCACACGAGTTAGTTGCATGAGAGTGAGTGATGGTGTTACGATTTCCAAATCGAGCACACTGTGGCACATTTGTGTTTTGTTCCCAGTCTCATGCCGCAATGCTGAGCGGAGTGCGTGTATGTGTAGCAACATGGAGTAAGGAGGACGATGAATGTTCCGCCCGCTGTGCTACATTTGACAGCGGCAGAGAGAGAGAGAGAACAAGGCGTGCGTTTTTCAAAGTTAAAACTTGTTTCCGTTGTTCTTGTTTTCGTTTTGTTTTTGGATTTCGGTATTGATGCACGACTGCGCAGCGCACGGCAACGAGTGCGTAAGGCTCTGATAAGCATGCTACAGTGATTTGCATAGCAAAAGGAAACTCAAACCTCGACCGTCATTCAACGTTTTGGATGAGAAAAGCGATTAAAAGCAGGAAAAATGTGGCAGATTTTAACGATTAAAATATGCTCACTTCTTGCCAATGAGAAACCAATGAGAAAGAGAAAGACTTTGTATCACAGTGACAGTGAGAACAAAAGAGAAACCAGGTTGAGAAGATGAGAGAGAGAGCGAGAGAGAGAGAGAGAGAGAGATCGAGAGAGATGAATACGGTGCACGGATGGGTGTCTGAGGAGTGGACGGGGTTTGGGAATCGCTTTGCCATGCGAAACAAAAAAGCAACCAAAAAACAAAGCAACAAAATCACGCACAGGACGAAAAGTGAAAAAGAGGAGAAATCGAAAAAGGATGACTGAACGAGACGAAACGATTGAAGAAGGAAAGAAAGAGAGTCGAAGATAGACAAAAAGTCAAAGAGCATCCGTTTTTATTTTATTTTATTCACTGTTTATTTTCATTTTATTTTTCACTCTTCTTCCTTTTTTTTTTTTTTTCATTTTTTTTTTCGTATTTTCTCCATCATGAAGTCGAGCACGCCTGTGACGGCCATGGACACCTCGTCCACCGTCGACAAGAAGGACAAGAAGGACAAGAAAGAAAAGAAGGACAAGAAGGACAAGAAGGACAAGAAGGACAAGAACGCTTCGACCTCGTCCTCCTCCTCCTCTTCTGCTGCTGCTCCGATGGCGATCGACGACGACGACAACAACACTGCGACTGTCGCCATTGCTGACAAGAAGCCCGCTGCTGCTGCTGCTGATGTCGACGCCGCGAGCAAGAAGGACAAGAAGAAGGACAAAAAGAAGGAAAAGGACGAAAAGCCACATGGCGAGCACATGGTCGCCTCTTCAGCCAAGTCCAAGTCGACCGAGTCCGAGTCTGCTGCTGCTGCTGCTGCTGCTGCGGCACCAGAGAAGCGCAAGAAGGACAAGAAGGACAAGTCTGGCGACGACGACCGCTCCAAGAAGACCCGCGTGGAGGAAGCCCAGCCGGCAGCAGAAGAGCAGGAAGTTGCCGTGTTTGCCGAAGCGTCGGCCTCCAAGAGCCGCAGCGACAAAAAGTTCAAGCGTCTGGACGGCGGCTCGTTCCGAAAGGACTTTTACACCCTCCACCCGACCACCGCAGCCATGTCGCAGGCGGACGTTGAGGCCTACCGCAACGGTCACGGCATCTCGATCCGACTGCCCGAGGCGCACGGATTTGCCAAGTCGGCCATGCTCAACCCCATCCTGGCATTCAACCAGGCAGGCTTCCCGGAAGACCTGCTCACCGCCTGCGCTGGCTTTGCCAGCCCCACCCCGATCCAAAGCCAGTGCTGGCCGATCAGCCTCGCGGGCAAGGATCTCATTGGCATTGCCAAGACCGGCTCTGGCAAGACGCTCGCCTTCGCCCTGCCCTCCATCATCCATCTGCGCGACCAAGAGGCGCTCGGCAAGAGCTCCAACCAGCGCGGCCCTGTCGTCCTTGTGCTCTGCCCGACCCGCGAGCTCGCCATGCAAACTGCCGAAGTGTACGCGAACGTGGCTTCGCACACTGGCAAGAGCAGCTCCTCGGTCGCTCTCAAGACGGTCTGCATCTTTGGTGGCGTCCCCAAGAAGCAGCAGCTCGACCAGCTCAAGTCTGGCATCCACGTCATTGTCGCAACCCCCGGTCGCCTCCGCGACTTTATCGACTCTGGCGACATTTCCCTCCAACGCGTCAGCTGCGTCATCCTCGATGAAGCCGATCGCATGCTCGACCTTGGCTTTGAGAAGGACATTCGCGACATTCTCGGCCGTGTCACCAAGGACCGCCAGACGCTCATGTTCAGCGCGACCTGGCCCTCTGCCATCGAAGCCATCGGTCGCGAGTTCCTTGCTCCCGACACTGTCCGCGTCACCATCGGTGGCGATGAGCTTGTTGCCAACGACGCCGTGACCCAGCATGGTGAGTCTTTTGTTTTTTCTTGTCTTTGCGCGCTTTCCTTGCCCCACCTTTATTGATTGCAAACACCTAACTGAACGCTGCTTTGTCTTTTGTCTTTGTTTTAGTTGAGGTCTTGGAGCCGTTTGCCAAGGACGCGAGACTGCTCGACTTGCTGCAAAAGCACCACTCGTCCCGCAAGAACAAGGTTATTATCTTTGTTCTGTACAAGCAAGAGGCACCTCGTGTCGAGCAAATGCTGCTGCGCAAGGGCTGGAAGTCGATTGCCATTCACGGTGATCGATCACAGGTAAAGGCTTCACCCAGAACCTTTGATTTTTTTTTTCGTTTTTTTGGTCTTTTTCGTTTTCTTTCTTTCACCGGCCCCAACAAAACCTTGCGAAACTGATGAAAATCATCATCACGACGGTCAACTGAGACCAATGTGCTCTGTTGTCAAAACAGTTGCACATCATGCTGATAATATGAATTAATCTTTGTTCTGACTTTGCTTGGTTTTTCTTTTTCGGGATCTTCTCCCTTCTTGTCGAATGTTTTCTCTCTTTCCCCTTCTCTCACTCTCCTACTTTTTGCAATGTCACTCACCCGTTTATTTTTGATCCCCATTCTGATAGGCGGACCGCACTGCCGCGCTGCAGGCGTTCAAGACGGGCGAAGTGCCGCTCTTGATTGCAACGGACGTTGCTGCTCGTGGCTTGGACATTCCCAACGTCGAGTACGTCATCAACTACACCTTCCCTCTGACCATCGAGGACTACGTTCACCGCATTGGTCGTACTGGCCGCGCCGGCAAGACTGGCACTGCCTTTACCTTTTTCACCGTCAACGACAAGTCGCACTCTGGCGAGCTTGTCAACGTGCTGCGAGAAACCAACCAGGCCGTCCCTGACGCGCTGATGAAGTTTGGCACGCACGTCAAGAAGAAGGAGCACAAGCTGTACGGCCTGCACTTCCGAGACGACGCTGCTGCCGGGCCGATGCCCGCCGCTTCGCGTATTACTTTCGACGACGATTGAGCACGCTGAGCATCGCCCAAGTTTTGTTAATTCCTTTTCTTTCGTTAACGCCATGTACTTGAATATCTTTTGATGAGATTCGATTATTTCTTTTTTTGCACAAACAATACACGCTATTTTTGATCATCTGATTATTACACATTTTTTGGATCTTCTGACTCTTCTCGGGGCGTTTTGGCCGACTTGCTGGGTTTTCCCTTGCGTTGACGGACAGTTGTACTGGGCGGGGTTTCAACAGACGGTTGTGGTTCTGCAATGCTTGCTGAGGGTGCTGGTTCAGGTTGGACAAGAGTGTCCGCTGATGTTTCGTCGCTGTCGCCATCCTCTTCATCCGCGTATGTGCTCGCATCGTAAATGGAACGCTTGGCGTCCACGGGATAAAACCAACGCTGGCCTAGGTAGACGATAAACACAAAGTCGTCGCGGAGGCAGGCGATTCGGTGGCGCAGCGGCATCGTGATGGCAAACGCAAACACGTCGTCAATGAACGTGTTGAAGGCGCGGTACATGAACACCCGCCAGGGCATGTGCGAGACCGACTTGAGGCGGTAGTTGATGTAGAGCTGCGGGGTCATGGCGATAAAGCCAAAGACATAAACGCCGTTCGCGAGCGAGCTCACAATCCACGAGTACCAACTGGCGTGCTCGTAGTGGTACAGGGAATATGCGGCATACAGCACCACCGTTGGGTACAAGACCCAAGACAACCCGCGGATGGCTTCGCGGTCGTACTGCCGCGTCAACGCCTCAAAGTCGCGGATGGCTTGTTGTCGTTTTTCCCGAGGCGATTGCGCATGCTCGGGCGTAGAGGATGTCAACGTTGAGGTTGAGTTTGCCAAGGCACCTGTAGCAGCAGGAGTCGCAGCAACAGCATCAGAAGCAACAGTCGCAGCATCCCTCAGACGACTCAGATGGAAGGCGCGCCAAGCCTTCCAGCCTTCAATCAAAAGGCCAACGCCCGAAAAGAAAAGAATGATGGCGCTCGTTTCGTGCGAATCGAGCAACGACAGAAAGATGATGAACTGGCAGATAAACGACGAATACACGGTCGTTGACGACAGTCCAGCGAGATTCCGGCGCGTCTTCCAAAACCGCACGTCATTGCGAAACGCCAGAAACTCAAACACCGAGTGCAAAAGTGTGATGGCAATCAAGCTGACGTGCATCTGAGCAATCAGGCGAGACAGTTCGTCCAAATCCTTGTCGGAAAACCCCAACTGAGTCGCAATCAGGCTCATTGAGGCCTCGAGGAGTGCCGACAGGCGGAAAGCAAAGAACGAGGTGCGCTTAATGGTAAGCGTGAGAGGCAAGCGAATGGGCTGTTGCAGAGGCCTTTGGCTTTGTGCTGATGCTTTAGAGTCGCTACTCGTCGCGTTGGAAGAGCCAGATGGTGATGATCCGTATGTGGCATTCGCGGCCGCTTGCTGGGCCAGTTCATCTTGCCGCTGCGCTACCTGCTGGATTGGCAACAGGCGCTCGGTGACGATGTGTCCACCTTCTGCACGGATGATTGGCTGATAGCCCGAGGAGAATCGCCGCACAAATGGACGCAAATCATCGGGCACGTTGTTGGCAGGCAGGCTGCGCGCAAACGAGTCGGGAACGATTCGAACAACCATATCTGTCGTCCAGTGGGCTGTTGCCGAGGTGCTGACCTTGACTTCCTCGGACGACGCATACAAATTGGACGGCAGAATGCGCGAGGCGTTCCCAGACAACAGATTCGATCGCTGTCGGAGGATGGGCTGTCGCATGACGATCGCCGGTTGAACGGTAAAGACAAACCGTGGATCTAGCATTGTTGGCGAGTTCAGCAGCGCTTCTGGCGCGAGACCGTGCGGCGTCATGACGACTGATTTGGAGCAGCAGAAAATAAAGACGCAAAGTGAGCGATCGACCAGAACGTTTGACATGCAGCAGCTCCAACCAGATAACTGTTTCTTTTGAGTGTCTCTTCTTCCTATTTTGCAAGGCGCCTGCTTACGGAATAGATCGAATGTTGGCTTGCGGCCCTTGACGAGATTTCGGCTGACTGGCACAACGAGGTCTACTTCCGCGACCAGGTCATCGAAAGTGGTCGGATCCGCTGGATCGTGCATGGACACGCCCGTCCTATTCCAAAGAGCACCTCGACGCACATCCACGAGGTGCAGGCCTTCCGAACTCGACCAAAAGAGATGGAAATCGACCTGAAACGAGCAGTAACAATTCACAATTTGAGATTTGACACGACAATGCCACAAGTTTCAGCAGCATGCTATGATGAAATAGATCATCAGTAATGTTCATGCATTTACAGAGCATCGATCAGTGACATCAAAGGGGAGGGAGAGTGCTTGGTTGTTACCTTGACTGGCGGAGCGACGCCAAACAACGGGTTCATGCACAGCTGAGGCTGGTCGCTGCTGCAGCTGGGCAGCAATGCAAGCTGAGCAAGCGTGTGAGCGAGCAATCCGACGTAGATGAACAAGCCGGCCAGGGCGACATTGCCGATTGTGCAGTGGCGCAGCATTGACGAGCCACGCCAAAAATCCCCCAGTGAATAAGACGACTGACCGTCCCATCAAAGAGAGAGAGTGAAGTGTTCCAACTTGAGTTTAAGATGAGCCTGCTTTTGTGCATGAATGGAGAAACGAGTGAAAGCAGAAGCCGACGAAAAACGGGACGAATCTTGAGCCAAGCGCAGCCGATCCAGCTCCAGCTCCAGCTCCAGCAAACCACTGTATCAAGATGAGCACTTTGATATTGTGTATAGCAATTTGTTTGCACACTTTGTCAACAAATCATCACTCTTCGTTTCTCTGAGACACTTTGACCCCTTTTATAATGGACGACTATGGCTCGGTGAATGCGTTCGACGCCCATTCGCTGCCGATGCGCTTCCGCTCAGCCGCCGACGGCGTCGAGTACATGCTCGCGACCTCTGTTGCCAGGTGAGGAGAGCTTGGTAGCGGACGGAGATGGAGAGTGGAGGGGGATCGTTTTGTACTTTTGGCGGGAGATCTCAAATTTCCGTCCGTTTCGCTCTCGGTTGCCTCTGTTCGTGATGATGATGATGACAGACACATGGGACGGTCACTCGTCGATCTATTCAGGACATACCCTGGACTCCACCGCCGCCAAGCGCGCGACGACGAGTGGATGTTTCTTGTTGGCAAAGGTAATGGACTTTGCTTTGGTTTTCAACTGTCTGGTTTCTGAGCTCTGTGGACGGGCGCTCGTACCGTTGAAATTTTTGCAATGGAATAGTCGCATGAGAGCGTTCGATTGGAGAGAGACCGGCGGTTGTGGTTTCGGTGACAGGGAAGACCCGCGCCAATCTCAATCGCAGTTCACTCAATCGTTGGACCTTTGAAAACTCTTTGACAGGCGAATGCTTTACAACGAAGGCGACCCTCGTTCGGGCAGCTGAGATTGAACTGCTGGCAGCACGCACAGCAAATAAAGAGACGCCATCTGCCGCAGACGCACTGATGCAGCAACCATTGTTGATACAGCACATTGTCACACCCCAATTGCCGGACGACGCTGAACCATCCAAAACACTGGCAGCGACCGCGCCCAAGCAATCCTTGTACTGTTTCACTCCGTTCGAACGGGGAGACGAGCGACCGTCTGTGGCAAGGCGGCATGCTGTCCAGAAGCCGCGTAATGTGTTTTCGAGCTTGTTCCGCGTTCTCGGGGCCGGCCCGGCTTCGGAAGCGTTGCAGACTGTCGCGGCCGTCGAAGAGGTGCTTGTACCCATCCGTATCGATCTAGACATTGATGGATTCAAGTACAAGGACTCGTTTGTCTGGAATCTGCGTGGTGAGGATTTTGATCGTTGAGGTTTTTTTTTTGTTCGTTGAAGGAGAGCGATTTGCACTCACTCGATTGATTTTGTCTGTTTAGATCAACTTGTGACTCCAGAAGACTTTGCAACAATGCTATGCGAGGACAACGAGCTACCACGACAACTCTTTCATACGCTTATTGTTGACTCCATTTCCAAGCAGCTGATCGAGTTTGCATCGTTTAACGAGATGGCCAACACATCTAGCCTGCCGCGATTTGACGATCGTCGCGTGCCAATCAAGGTGAGAAGAGCCTTTACTGGGCGTTTGAGTCGCTTGGTTTTTGCGCTAAAGTCGCTCACCCGCCCTCTTCCTGCCCTTTGACGACTTTTAGCTCGACGTGCAGTACGGCCAAATTGCACTAAGCGATCAGATCGAGTGGGACATTTTCGATCCCGACAACAGTCCGGAGGAGTTTGCAGCTCACTATTGTGCCGAGCTGTCGCTTCCCAGCGAGTAAGACTCAAGTCTTTGTGTTTCGAAAACAAAAAGCAAGCTTTCCTTGTCAACCAACCATCTCTGACTTGATTTGTTTGTACCTTGCAGATACATTCCGACAATTGCGCATCTCATTCACGAGCAAGTGATCGCCCACCGCAAGTTGGCAATTACAGGCGACAGTCATGCTGCGGCTGATCTTGGTTTGGTAGGCTTCCCGCCAGTTCGGTATGATTATGCCCACCGATCGAATGGAGATTGTGGGTTTGCGGGTCAAGCTGACGAGACTGCTTTTTGTTGTTTGAATTCTAGAATCGGCCCTTCAGCCGAGGACTGGACTCCGCATATGGAAGTGTTCGATCCGGCAGATTTAGAAAGGGTGCAACAGCAACGCGACCGGTACGTGCGAATGCTCGACCCGCTTTCTTTCCTCGTTGAGATGGAGTTCGGAATCTCATCGGTTTGTTTTGAATTTTGGGATATTTCAGATCATCCCGTTCGCGTAGGGAGGTTGCTTCACGGCGAGGTGCCACCTCTTCGCGAAGGTCAGCGGCCGCAGCAGCTGCAGCGGCACTGACTGGTGCTACTGGCTCTGGATTTGTTGCTGGTTCCGGTGTTGTCACTCCCACTGCCGGAAAGGTGTGGGTGATGCCCGTGCATCACGATTCCGGATCGACCATAGGTAAAGGGGGGCTGATGATTCAGAGGCTTGTGCTATCCAGTTTGATTTCGATTGATTGTGCTGACATGAATGCCTCGTTTTGCTCAATTTGCTCCAACAACAACAAACAGCTGCCCACGGTTCTCATGACAATCGACGGAGATCCGAGCACAAGCTGTACTAAGAATTGAAACAAAACGTTGTGTAAATACATCGCAGTTGCACAAAAGTTGCACACACTCCACTGCATGTTAAACGCGAGACGGCCGAGATCGCCCAATGGTAATGCCAGTCCATCGGTAAATCCAGGCATAGACCACTTCCGGCTGCTTTGCATAAATGTTGAGAAAGCCACCGGCAAACACGAGGAGGGAGGCGAAAACATAGTTCCACGTGAATGGTTTCGGGAAGAGCGCAAACGACAAAATCATCGTGAAGGCCTTTCGGAACGTGGTCACGGCCACTGCGAGAAGGGCACCAAAGTGCCTCACGAGCAATAGTACATACTCGATGCCCAAATACCCAGAGATGGAGAGCAGGACGGTGAGTCCATAGGTTTCGCGAGGATGCGCCAAAGCGTAGATTGTTCCATGGTAAAGCTCCCCGGTGACCAACATGAAGAGAGTGAGGTAACAGGCGCCGATAGAGTACGAGAAGAACACCTAGAAGAAGAAAAGATACAGGGGCAGTGAGTGAGTTGGGGAGCAGATACCAACGAATTTTTTTTTTTGGCCTACCATCTCCGCATTGCTGCACTTGTACAGCTTCATGTACTTTTCTTGCACGTTGCCAATAACGGCGTCCGCGCAGAGGGCTATTGAGATCAGGCCGACACCGATGAAGGAGAAGCTGGGCGAAACTTGCACGTCCGCCAACGTGAAGAGAATCAGCCCGAGAGTCATGAGCGAAGCGCATGCAAAGTCGAGCAGCTCGTAGCGCTTTTGTTGAATAAGAATGCCGCCAATCATGACGGGAATGAGCTTGCAGGATTTGAAGATGATTTGAGTGGGAAAGTTCAGGTATGCCAGCGCGACGTTCGACAGTGTCATTGTGATCACCGTTAGCAATGCAATCAGGCAATATCCCCCTAGCGGCGCTCTTTTGACGACAAACAATGGCCAAACAGATGGGCAATGGTGAGGACAGATGACGAGCTCGCAATTCGACAATAACGAAAAAAAAGGGACACTTACTTTCCGCACTTGAAAACTTTGCCTCCTTTGTAGGTGATTTCCACAGCGGAAAAGATCGAGTAGCAAATGAACAAGGTCAACGTCATGTGATATCCGTACTGCGCATATCCCGGATCCCGGAAGATTGTTTCCTGCAGGGTTAGAAATTGGAAACCAAGCCAAAGTCAGCAATTTGAGGGATGATTTTCCTGCCGATTTCATTCAACCTCGAAGTGTTCAAGCAAGCTGAGCGCCACAAGAACAAGACGTTACCAGAATGGATCCGTAAATGACAAAGAAGAAGATGACGAGCGAAGCGGCGGCAACGAATTGGACGGTGCGCGGCTGGCGATCCATGTGAATGCCAAGCAGGACGAACGGCTCGCTTGCCACAGAAGATGCTGCATTAGTGGTAGTAGTCTGATTGCTCATCATCATGCCGGAGCCAGGCGAGCTGTTGGTGCTGCCATTCGAGGCACCCGAGATTGAGCGGACAGACTCGAGCTCGGCGCCGCTCGTCTTGCCTTGCTGCTGCTGCTGCTGCTGCTGCTGCTGCTGCTGCTGCTGCTGCTGTTGTTGTTGCTTGTGCATCGGCAGAGTAGTATTGGATTGAATGAAGTAGAAACGGCGGTCGATTTCAATCTGAACGGCGCAGTTGGGCTGAGAAACACTCAGAACGGAACAACAACAACAACAACGACTGGTGTGCTTCAACGCTCAGACCCCAAAAAACAACAACATCATCATCAACAACAACACCAACGACGACAACCGCAAGGGCTCGAGCACTTGCTTCCAAATGGTGAATGTTGCTTTGTGATTCAGAATTGAAACTTGAAGCGAGATCAAGACGAAGCTGCCAAAGTGATGTCAGCACTCACCCCATTGCAGAGTGTTTGACATCTGCTTCCATGAGTGATGATGACTGGATCTCGAAAACAAAATGGTCCCAGAATCTCAAAAGCACGGAGAGAGAGAGATGGTCCCATTTTCGCACTCTCTCGCCCTTGCTCTCTTCCATCTCTCCGTGTTTTGCCGACGTGGTCAGTTTTTGATTAACTTGTTTTCTTTAGCCATTTCGTCATCTCCATTCTTGAGTTGAAGTCACTCCTCAAAAACAGCTCATTCAAACGCAGCTCCAAACCCCCCGCCAAACACAAAACCATGTCCAACAACCTGTCTGACGTTGTCGTTCCGTACGGCACCAAGCTGACCGCCGCCACCAACGGCAAGGTCGAGGGCTCTGCCACTGTCAAGACGGGTCTTGCCCAGATGTTCAAGGTGAGCAAGAGCTGTCGTCGTCTCAATGGAAGGGCGAAGGACTCAAACGCGGGGAAATGCAAAAATCAGAGAGAGAGAACCGACCATCCGTCCGATGTCGCCATCGAGCGAAGAGTCGCATTTCTAGAGGATGGGTGAATGATGATGATGATGAATGAGTGAATGATGATGAGGATATGGGGATGATGATGATGGGGATGGGGACACGGCTGAAAACATGATGACATGTGGACCACGAGTTGCCTGTTGTGGCCTGTGCGACAAAGGCAATTGAAGCACGGCGGAGTGAGGGAAGCGAGAGGTGGGGAGGAGCAGGGTTAGGGTGTAGGAACAAAAGACAGAGAGAGTGACATGAGTATTGGAAGTGATACTGCTGGAGAGAGGGAAAGGGAGAAAACCGGAAAGTGGAGAAGCGAGAGAAGCACTGAAGGTCACGTCTTGGCTTCCACAATAATCAGCGCGCTGTGTCAATCCGCACTCTTTCCGTCCTTCAGCAAAACACTCAGTAGAGCGTTCGTTTCTTGATCCAATGGTCAGAAGTTAGGCATCAAAAAAGCAAATCTGGCCTTCACTCTGAAGCGATTCACACTGATGAACGGTTCAAACAGCCGGTTTTCTCGTTCACTTTGCTCTCTCTCTCTCTCTCTCTCTCTCTCTCTTTCTCTCTCTTTCGTTCGCTGATCAAATCCAAAGCAGTCATAAATAGCAATGGCATTTGCATTGGGGATGGGCTTTTTGTCGTCTGGATGTTCAATGAGAGAGAGCACTAGCCAAAACCGCACAGTGGGGTCAACCATCTGCTCTGATGCTGATTTGCTCGTGGTCACTTTATCACAGTGTATGTGAATATTGAAAAAAAAGAACAAAAGAAAAAAAGAAGAAGGGATAGCAACGACGAATGATCACACGTGCAGAATGTCAATGTGGCAGAGTACGATGGGATGGAGAGAGAGAGATTGAACGAGAGATCGCTCACCGTTTCCCGCAATTTTGTTTTTTTTTTTTGTTGGTCTAGGGCGGCGTTATTATGGACGTCATCAACGTCGAGCAGGCTCGCATCGCCGAGGAGGCTGGTGCGTGCGCCGTCATGGCCCTCGAGCGCGTCCCCGCCGACATTCGCAAGCATGGTAAAAAAGCGTTTTGCGCGAATGAGAGCTTGTGTTGATTTTTTGGAAACTTACCACACCTCTCAATCTCTCAATGCAGGCGGCGTTGCGCGCATGTCCGACCCGCACATGATCAAGGAAATCAAGGCCGCCGTCACCATCCCCGTGATGGCCAAGTGCCGCATTGGCCACTTTGTCGAGGCTCAGATTCTCACCGAGTGCGGAATCGACTACATTGACGAGAGCGAGGTCCTCACTCCCGCCGACGACAAGCACCACATCCTCAAGAGCGAGTTCCCCATCCCATTCGTTTGCGGCGCCCGCAACCTTGGCGAGGCTCTCCGTCGCATCAACGAAGGTGCCTCCATGATCCGCACCAAGGTAAAAGACAGCCAGCTTTATTGATGGTTTTGCTTGGCTTGCTTGTTTTGGCTTGGCTTGGCCATTTTTTTTGATCATCTCACCCTTCATTGCATTGTGCAGGGTGAGGCTGGCACTGGCAACGTTATCGAGGCCGTCCGCCACTCGCGCCAGATTAACGCAGAGATCAAGCAGGTTCAAAACATGGACGAGGTCGAGCTCTTCACCTTTGCCAAGGAGATTCAAGCCCCCTTCCACCTCATCAAGCAGGTCAAGGAGCTCGGACGCCTCCCCGTCGTCAACTTTGCCGCCGGTGGCATTGCCACCCCCGCTGATGCTGCCCTCATGATGCAGCTTGGCTGCGACGGTGTCTTTGTTGGCTCTGTACGTTTTTTGCCTGTTGTGCTTTTTTTTTTGCAAGATTGTTGTTTCGCCGTGACTCACCTCTCATCTTGAAACATTGGGTTTGTTTTGTTTGCGAATTGCTAGGGCATCTTCAAGTCTGGCGACCCCGCAAAGCGCGCCCGCGCCATCGTCCAGGCCACCACCCACTTCCGCAACGCCAAGATTTTGGCAGAGGTGAGCGAGAACCTCGGCGAGCCCATGGTTGGCATCAACATTGATACCTTGCCCGAGGGCGAGCAGTACGCCAAGCGAGGATGGTAATCGAGCAAAGGCCTTTCAGCGACTCGGCCGATCTGGTGCGCGCTTTTTCTGGTGCCATGTTTGATTATTTTTTTTTCGTGCGTGCATTTGTCGTGTGTTAAGACACTCATAGGTTAATGTAAAACAGCCAGTGGTCATGTTGATCTAGTTCGGAGTTTGGGAGGAGAGATTAAGGATATGCAGCGCAAACTGTGTATTCAAACCGAAAACGAACGGTGAATGTCGCTCTACGCAATCAGTCCGCCAATATCGCGAAGAGCATGACCAGCAGCGGCACTCTCAAAGGGCGCGCGCAAAGATGCAATGTGCGGCCGCGAAAGAGGAGCAATTTCCCAGCAGGCGCGCAAGAGAGCAAACAAGTCGTTCGGACACGACTCGGGTTGCGCCAGACGGTGTCCGGCCTCGACGTCTGCCAGCGCTTGCTGGCCTGTCGTTGATCCATAGGGCGTGGCACCGTACGAGAACACCTCCCCTGTTACAACAAATTTCAACATGTATGCACTTTGTGAGCAAAAACACGTTCCGAAATCGCCAGAAATCGACCAGATCAAACGCCAGATCTTACAAGCCAGGACGCCAAACGCCCAAACATCACTGCTATGCGAAAACTTGCGATAGTGCAGACATTCAGGCGCCATCCACTGTTTGGCGGCAAGTACATCAATCAACAAAGTCAGTTGCAATGTTTGACTCAACCCCTTAGCCAGCCCTCCAACTATCGCAATAAGCCGAGCGGCACATCAGTCCTGCAGATACCTTGACGGGAAGCTTGCCACGAGCTTCCATGCGGTAGTAGTCTTTTTCTTCGGCGAGTGCGCGCGACAAACCGAAATCAGAAATCTTGACGACAAGCCCCGTGCCAACGAGGCAGTTGCGTGCTGCGATATCACGATGGACAAATCGAATCGACTCCAGATACTCCAGCCCACCTGCGATTTGTGCGAGGGCGTGACTCATTTCGGCCACTGTCCAGCCAATGTTGCGTTTTCGAGACTGCAACAGAACGTGGCGCAAGTCGCCGTATGGCATGAGCTCGAGAACTGACATGAACGGCGCGCAGTCCAGCAGAGACGTGATGCAGCGCACAACATTGGGGTGCGAAAACTGGGCCATCATTTGCGCTTCTTCGACAAACTCCTGACGCGACTTTTCGGTCGCATCAGGCTGCATGGTCTTGACAGCAACATCGAGATACGCGCCCTGCACTCCGGCCAGCAGGTACTGAGCATCCGGCGGAACAAACTTTCGAGGAAGCTGCCCTTTGAGCACAACGCCGAAATTGCCCGAGCCGAGTTTCGCTCCCACAACAAGACTTGCGCGCAAACCGAGTTCGACATCATCGTACACAACTGGTAAAGCGTAATCACCTTCCTCGACTTGCTCGTATACAGAAGGATCCTCTTCAGGCGCCGTGGCGGGAACCGGACGTTGATTGTCGTAAGTGGGTTGCACAAGACGTTGATTGTCGTAAGTGGGTTGCACCGCGGTTGATCTCGCGAGTGGCTCATAGCCGGAGAGCGCGGAATCCATGGTCTGCATCGGAATGGTTGCTGTGCTATCCTTTTCAGAGAGACCACGGGCCACTTGACGACGACGGCGCCGAATGATCAACAACACGACAAGCACAAGCAAAACCAATATTCCACCAACGGCGCCAGCCACCGCAGGTAACATGGTTGCAGAAGAAGAGGTCTCGATATTGATGGCAGCACATTGCGGAACCGAACTGACATTCCAGTTTCCAGCAGCTGTGCAGCGGAGGCCGGTCGCTCCCGCATCGGCCAACTGAAAGCCCTCATTGCACGACAGCATGCATTCAGAGCCAAAGTCGGTCGAGTTATTCGTGCAGTGCACAGTGCCGTGCGGAAGCGTCAGAACATTGCATGAAACAAGGGTGCAGAAGGCCTCCATCGGTCGGTCCCACTCTCGCGTCGCCAAGCACTCGACAACATCGGCATAGTCTCCTCCAAGCGAGTAGCCGGGGTTGCAGCTCGGGATGCACTCGGATCCATAGTTTGTGTTGTTGTTTGTGCACAGAACAGCACCGTTTTCAAGCGTCAGAGGATCGCACGATACAATCGTGCATTCTGCTTGCAGCGTTGCGCTCCACTCGCGCGACGCCTGACACGTCACAGGATTTGTGTTGGCTCCGCCAAGGGTGTAGCCTGCATTGCAGCTCGGTGTGCATTCCGAGAGGTAGTTTGTGTTGCCATTGGTGCAGTCGATGGCACCGTTTTCGAGAAGCAGAGGGTCGCACGAAACAATCTGGCAGTCCGCCAGGGTTGCGTTCCACTGTTGCGAAGCGTTGCAGCGCACTGCGCCAGTGTAGTCTCCCTCCAGTGTGTAGCCAGCGTTGCAGTACGGGGTGCACTGCGAGTTGTACGCAGTCGTTCCTCCAACGCAGTTCAGTCCACCGTTACCAAGAGAAAGCGCGGGGCAGGCGATCGGATCGCAGTAGAATGTCTCGGGGTGTGTCCAGGTGAAATTTCCTTCGCATACTGAGTTGACAGTAGCAAGCGGTGCGTAACCGCGGAGACAGAAGCCAGCGTTGCAAGAAACGGTGCAGATACCACCAAGCGAGTATCCATCACAGTTGACAGCTCCATTGGTTGGCGCTGCCATGGTGTGCGGGCAATGCTCCTCATACAGAACACATGTGGGTGTCTCGCGCGACCACACACCGACAGAAGCAGTGCTGGACAGGCAAGTGACAGGAACAACACGCTGCGACGTGCCGTCCACGACATAGCCCGAATCGCAAGAGTAGGTGCACACTGTTCCGATGCTGCGAGTGGTCGGCTGGCAGCTCACGCTGCCGAGAGTGATTGAGGTTGGCGGGGCGGGGCAGTAGTTTGCGATAATGTTACAAGAGCTCGAATGAGACGTCCAACCGAAAGAGCTGCCATAGTCTGAGCAAGTGATGGTTGCGGCGGCAGACAGCTGATATCCATTGTTGCAGCTCATAGAGCAAGTTCCCTGATCTAAAGGGCATTGTCGAAAAAACAAACGAAAACAAACAAACCATCATTCGATGAGTTTTGCATGCGGACGCATCCGGACAGTAGAACAGCATCAAAGCTCTTACAAGTCGTGCTCCCGCAAGTGAGTTTGCCATTCGCTGGATTGCTTGGATTGCCACAGTTGATGGTGTTGCATTGGAAAGTGCGGGACGACCAAGACTTGTCCGCTTGGCACGTAACATTGCCTGAAGCGGATGTTGACCGAGTACCGGTGGCACAAGTATGAGTGCAAACTCCACCAACTGTTTGTCGGTTGCAGCTCCAAGTTCCAGAAGTGAAGAATGCTGGCGAACCGCACGACTTGGCTGCCATGCTGCAACAGGTGTACTTCCAGCGCCGGTCTTCTGCGTCGTTGTCATTCACTGAAGATCACGCAGGTGAGATCACATTCTTGGGATCCACCAATCGTACGATTCTTTACCTGAAGACATGCCAGCGATATACTGAAAAGGCTGGGGGCATGAGTAGTCCAGAGGTCCGTCATAGTTGTTCACTTCGCCAGTCGTCGAACAACCACCCGTGTACTCGAACTCGGAAATCATTTGAACGGTTTTCACTTGATAAAGACGATCTTCTTTGGTGTTCCAGTGGCGTGAGTTCATTCCGTAGATTGTTCGACCTGCCGTGGCAGTCCAGCTGAAATCCTGTCAAACCAACAGGCATCAGCTCCAGATCAACACAAGCTACATCCATCCTGAATGCGAATCCAAAGCTTATTACCTGGTCCCAGTCGTTCATCTGAAAGTAGTTTTGGTCGGGAACGTTCCCTTTCGTGATTTGCTCACCAGAATGAGAGATGCAATGCTTGCGGTAGTTCCACCAACGGTCTTCATCGTGATTGTTATGCTGCGACCGGAACTGGCCGTGTTCAAACATTGCATGATGTGTCTTGTCAGAAATCTCTCGACCCTCTCTCTTGCGTTTATTCCATGCTTCATGCTTGGCCGCCTTACCCCTGCAAAATAACACTGCGTTTCCGTGCCAACATCGGCGGATTCCCAATTGGCACTTTCCAGAGTAAACAGGGGGAACCTGTATTGCGACAAAGTAAGTCCATTGGAGCAAACCCACCATAGACCTCGCTAGCTTCAAACCTACCATCCGTCGTCAGTCATGCCGAATGCGGCTGTTTAAAAAGTGAGGTTCAACAAGCAAGTTAAATCCAAATTGCGCGCTTAGCAACCATCTACGCAATCAAGTCCCTGCAACAGCTCTCTGTGTTTTCAAGCTGATTTATATTGGTAATATATTGCTGAATGGTGTACGACGAGTCGTCGTCCTTGCTGCTGCTTGTACGAACTGCAATAGATTCGCCTTGTTTGAAATCGCGCTAATCAGCTTCAGATCAACCGCCTCCACTGCCCTTCCCCAACACGCACACCCTCCCCCTCCGCCCCCTGCACTGCAATACACAACCCAAACGTCTCAGCGCTGACCGCAAGTCACTCGCGCGACGCTGCTTGTATCTGCAGAGTCAAACAACAATGAAACCCGCTCGTCCACCCACTCACCCACCCGGCGCGCGGCCTGCTCACCCCCAGTCGAAGCGGAAGGCAAATCACAGCATTGAACACGGACGCATACCATTGCATGAATGGATGTGCGGCATCACCGCCAGCAGCACCAGGACGGCCCCCAGCGACAGAGGCAGCCGCGTAACAGCCATTTGGAAAGCAAAACAACAACAACAACAACAACAATCAAGTTAACAACAATGAGAAGTGGCCAACCCCTCACTACACTCACCCCCCAACGCCATCCCCTCAATGGCACCCCATCAATGCACCCCGCACCCAGTCTCACAGTCGCACAGGCGCACATACAAACACACATAGACGTCTAGCTCGGTGACCGATCGAGCGGGAATGGGCTGGTTGGTTCCTTGCTTTTGTTTTTTTTCTAAATCGTGTTTTCGTTTCTCAGCGTCTCAGTCCTTTTCTTTGTTTCTCAGACGACCCTTCCCGCGTCGTTTGACCTCCTCCTCCTCATCCTCCTCCTCCTCCTCCTCCTCCTCCTCCTCCTCCTCCTCCTCCTCCTCCTCCCCCACTTCCGATCCCACCACTCCACCACATAATGAGTAGCGGCAGTGGGTCACTCAAGCGACCTCCTCCGTCTGCTGGCGGCTCGCAGCGATCCACTCCGACCGGAACCCCGCGTCCCAGCCAAACCGCCTCGCCTGCATCCACCTCCACCATGCCATCAGCATCATCATCATCATCAGCATCATCGTCGGGCCCTGCCAGCGCAATCGCCGTCGCCCAGTTCGCGGCCGCGCGCGCTCGTGAGATTCAGACCATGCTCCATGCGCTGAACGAGCCCGTCAACGGCGGCGGCGGACGGCGCGTCTTCCAGACACTCCCGCGACACATGCGTCGGAGAGCAATGAGCCACAATGTCAAGCGCGTGCCAAAGCGGTCGCGGTCGGCGGCTCAGCGCGAGACCGAGGCGATCGCACGGGGCGGCGGCGGCCAACAAGCCAACAACGCTGGCGACGGACTGAGCGCAAAGGGACTCCCAGTCGCAATGGCTGCAGAGTCTGCAACGACAGTGCGTGTGGACAAGATTCAGCGCGAGACGGGCCGGTCGGTGAGCAAGCGTGCACGCAAACGCATCTACGCGCGAATCCGACGCACCATCCAAGCCGTCAAGCGCCCGACTCGAATGCGACGACGGATTGCTGCGAATGCACGTCATCGTCACTTGCTCAAGCGTGCCAGGGCAAAAGGATGGCTCGAGACGCACGTCTGGCACGCAAAGCGGATGAAAATGGCCGACCAGTGGGGATTCCGACTTGCGCTGCGTTCTGCTCAGCGCGGCATGCGTGCGACGCACCGCGCGACGCTGCATTCTGTGACAGCACACGATGCGTCGTATCATGGGATAATCGAGCTCGCTGGTCCGTTCCAGGAGCTCCTTTCGGTGCTGGGTGCGGTCAGCCACCCGACAGATCCCAGCGCTGCGGACAACACTGCATCTCCAGCGCTGACAGGCGCAGTAGCCGGCGATGCGATGCTGTTTGCCCCTCACTCCTACCCATTGGGTGTCATTGGGCCCTTTTCTTTTCTCTGGCGACCGGTGGAGCGCAACAATCACGCCACTTCAAACACAGCAGCGATGGACACGCGAGAGGATTCGAGCTCCTGCAACACCACCACCACCACCACCGAGGATCGAGCTCTTTGGATGTGGTTTCATCCGGCCTGCTTTCATGCAGCGCTGCTCGCCCTGCGCCAGGCCGTCAAGTCTTCCCAAAGCAGGAACGTTCTGGTCTTGGATCGGCGGAAGGAGATTGTGCAGTTTCAACTAACAGGGCCGTGGTCACACGCTCTTTTGAATGAAATCCTGGACATTCGGGATGGCTTGATTCTTCCAGAACAAATCCGGTCGCTCCTGGATCGGCGAGACCGGCATCGTCGCCATCCTCGGCGGCGGCTTGGCAGCACTAATGTACCCGCATCTTCTGAAGGAGGCATTGCATCAACGTCAACTGTAACACGAGAGAAGAGCACTGCTACTGATCACGACGAGTTTACGAGCGACGAAGAAGAGGCAAGCGGGTCTGACGACGATGCCGAGGACACCGACGACGACGACGACGACGACGACGATGCACGCGCGCAAAAGCGCAAAGTCTCTGGTACCACTACAGTAACAACATCCTCCACGGTTCAGACTACTGGCACAATCGCAACAGCCTCCACAACCAATGACTGGCATGCTCGGCAACAGCGTCGTCGAATCACTTCCCTGCAACGATGGGAGCAACAACAGAACGATCGCGCAGCGCGAAAAGCACAGCGTCAATTGGCTAAACAAAACCGTTATGTGCCGCAACATTCCGCCAAGCGTCGTGCTGTGGAAGACCCGCTTTCGGGAGAGCCTCGGCGCGCGTCCTCGAAACCCACCTTTCAGCGTCGTCTCGCCCTGAAGCAACGCATGAAGCAACTCCCACCCAGTGCCCTTTGGCAACCCTACTCGTTGACATCCAACATTGTCTGGGCGTCGCTGGCCACGTTGCACAACGCTGCCGCGCTTCCACCGCGAACCGTGTTTGCGCTTGACGTGCACGATCCTCGCACAGTTCATCGTTCCACCATGCGCCGAGCTGTTCATGTTGAAGAGCGCCGAGCTGCGCATGCCAATCCGAGCAACATTGCCAACGTTGCGCGCGGAATTCAAGCGCTCAACTCGAGTACATTCAATCAGCTGCTGCAACATCAGCAGCAGCAGCAGCAGCAGCAGCGTGGCCACCAAGACGTCAACAACCCAGACTTGGCGCTATCGTATAACGGAGGTGCCTCCTTGTTGTGGGACAAGGTCTCGCGTACGTTTGTGCAAGACCACCAAGTGTCGGAACGAGAGCTGCACGAGCGCCGGCAACAGTACCTTCTGCCAAACAAAGCGACCATTCACTCCGAGGAAGACACTCCAATTCCGCTCATCCTTGTGCAAACACCGGGATCGAGCGGAAGCTCGGCGCAGTTTGTCAACCACGTTCGCAACGCTTCCACGCAAGCGTCGTCCGCGCCCTCCTCCTCGATTCCAAAAACGCTGCGTGCAAAGCTCGAGAAGCAACGGCGGCTTCAGCTCGAGAGGCAAACACAGGCACAGGGCAGTCGCCAACAGCAACCAAAAAAGCCGGCGGTCAGTGCCGCGCTTCAACGAGCTGTGGCCGGTGCGCGGACGTGCGATCGCCTGCAACAAGCCGCCGTCACCAAGTCTCTCATCCGACAGGCTCTGAGTGGACCCGCAATCGGGTACGCCAGCGGCTACTCGTTTTTTGCACCCGCCAAGTTTGGTTCTGCATTCTGGCGGAGCCTCACGTATGCTGGCGCGCGTGCGATTGGCCAAGAAGATCTGGAGCGAACTGCGCTCGAAAGTGGTGACCTCCAGTTCCCAATCGACTTCCCCGACACGGTGGCGCATCGTGCTCTTGCTCGCCAGCGAGCCATGGCGTTGTCCGCCAAGCATTCGCGCTATCCGAAAGCCAAGCGCGTGAATTATCTTCGCATTGGCACCCCTTCGCCGTTCTACGCTGCGTGGACCTGGCTGCTGGCCGTTTGGGAGCGGCGTGCGTCGTCGCAGCAAGTCGACGCTCTTGTTGGCTCAGACTATGATGCATCTTCTGCCGTGTTTGTTGTTGATCAAGCGCGCTCCAATGCCATCCATCCCCGCACCTTTGCCGGCCGCAAGGCAGCGCAACAACGAGCTGCTGCACAACAACCCACAGATACTAACTCTGACGGACAAACTCTTCGAAAGCGCATCATCTCGACCGCCCTTGGCGGAATTGACAACTTTTCGTACTTTGTCCTGCGAGATCGAGTTGCACTTGAAATCCTCGACCAAGCACTCGGTCTCTCCCGCAAGTCTAGCGCGTCCTCGACGTCCGGCTCGCTCGACAAGCTCAAAGCCGGTCCTGTTCATTCCATCCTTGTCTGTATCAAGATCAAGATGCTCTCGAAAGGGGTGCCGAGCTACAATGCCATGATTTGCATGCCGACCGGAGCCGATTGCGCCGAGCTTGCCACCTCCCTTGACTTTGCCGGGCCAGTCGAGGGTAAACACACGGCTTCCGACCTCTCGACGCCAAGCGTGCGAGGCAATATTGCGGCTGCTGGTCGAACGGTGCGTTTGGTGTGTTGTGCTCGCACATCTCCCCTCACCTCCCAGATTTTCCCAAATTCAACCGCTCTCATTCGCTCGTTTGCTTTTGGTTTCTTATTTTTGGTGGAATTCACAGGTGACCTCAACCCGCGAAATCATGGGATTTGTGACGACAGGCGGCTATTCGTTCACACGAGCTAGCGGGTTTGGCGTTGCGTTCTGCACTCTGGCGTCGTTGCTTGAGCTGGCGTCGTCAAGAGCCCTACGCGAGTGAGTATAGCACAGATGCGCAATGATTGGTTTTTGTTGTCTTTTGCCGCATGGACTCACAGCTGCCGTTGCTTTTCAACCCCCCCCCCCACACCTAGTCCGATGCCGTTCATCCTTGTGCGAAATCCTCGATCACGTCAATACCGCGTGGCCATGTTTTCCATTCTCGACTCGTAGCCGCTCAGACCGACAACACGTCGCTTTTGTCGAATTCGAGTATCGAGCGTGTGTGTTGTTTCAATCACATAAACTTTTGGGGTTGTTCGTTGCGTCAATAAAGTCAAAAAAGACAATGAATTGGATTGAAACAATGGAACAAAACCGTACATCTGCGCTACTGGTGTAGATGCAATAAATTTCAAAAAAAAAGTTGACGAAAAAAGAAGCAAAAAAAAAAAAATCCAAGGAAGAACAAAGAAGAAAAAAAAAGAGAGCAGGACAACACGTTGAAATTAAGCACCGGTGGAAGCAGCGGGTGCGGCTTCGGTCGTGGCCGTGGCGCCTTGCTCCTTGGCCCGTCGGCTGAGCTCTGGAAGGACCTCCTTTGGCTGCTTTTGCAACAAGTTGTTAACGGCAAGGAAGGTGGAAACGCGCTCGTACACGGCAAAGGTGATGGCCTGGCCGGGAACGATGCGCATGAGACGGGGCGTCAGTCCCTTGTAGAAGGAGCGGATGCCTTCCTCTTTCAACATGGTTTGGATGGTGCCCGACACGCCGTTGTACTTGGGGGTCTCGCCGGGAATGGTGCGCTGCTTTTGCAGGCGGGTCTTGATGACGTCGATGGGCGAGTTGGCGAGCGGACCCATGGCGCCGCTGACACCGCCGACGAGCAAGTGCTGCCAGGACTCGAGCTCCTTCTTTTCGGGCGAGTAGCGCAGCCAAGTCTCCTTAATTTCGCGGTAGGCAGTAAAGTTGACGGCCTGGTTGGTTGCCTGTCGCAAGACGGTGGGGATGACGCCCTTGTACAGGGCAGACAGACCCTCCTCCTTGATGATCATGGCCGCAGCGTGGATGGAGCCACGGTAGCGGGGCGCGTCGTGCGGGTCTGCGAGCGAGTGCCGTTGCGCCTGCAGGCGAATCTTAACCACTTCCATCGGCGTCACAACAAGGACGGCCTCAGTCACACCAGCAAGCGTGCCGGCGAGGAAGACGCGCGAGCGGCTGACGGTGCCGTCTGCAGACGCCATGGCCGACTTGAAGGCCTCAAACGACGAAAAGCGGATGGCCATCTTGGGGACGATGCCCGACACGACCGCCGTCAGTCCTTTATACAAGGCCATGACGCCCTCAATTTGGATGATCTTTTTTGCTGTTCCGAACGGTCCGATGCTTGCCTGTGGAGTGAGAAGGAGGAGGGTGGGTGAGCGATCGACCGACAAAAAAAAAATAAATAAAAAAATAAACCACCACAGTCAAACCGAATCCGCCTTTTTCACTTACGCCGCGGTTGCGCTGCAGTTGCATGCGCGTCTTGATTGTGTCGAGCGGATGGCAGATGCATGACTCGGCCAGACCCGCGCTACCACCAGCGACGAGGTTGGCCATGAATGTCCGGTTGGTGTTTTCCTTTGCTGGCGGCATGGCTTTTTGATAAGAGGCTTCTTCAATCGTTCAAGTGGTTTGTTCTTGGGAGGATGTTCCGTTCCTGCTCAGTAATGTCGGACGGGTGCAAAACAGAGAATCTGAGCGAAAGCGTTCCAAAGTGTAAGGTCGAGTGAAGTGAGTGAAGTGAGTGCTTGATGCATGACAATGGAGAATGGCGAAGGAAAAAGTGTGAGCGAGTGATAAGGCACGCGCTGCGCTGCTTTGCATCATCGTTCGCGCAATGCCATTCGATGGATGGAAAGGAGTACTCGAGTTTTGATCATTGCAATAAAATGACGATCGGTGATCGACTGAAGCGGAAGCGACTGCGGGGGACTCACGTAGTCACTGACCGTTTCACCCAAACTCACTCACAATCACTCACAATCACTCCGCCACTGGAACTGAACTGAACTGAACTGAGCTGAAACTGAGCTGAGTTGATCGGTGTACACACAATCACCCAAAACATGCTGATCGTCGTCGTGCCTTTTCAACCCAGCATTGCAGATCACGCAAACCGACCAAAGTTGAAAAAAAACCCAACAAAAAAAAAAAAAAAAAAAAAAAAAGATCAAAAAAATCCAACATCAGAGACGGAAGACAGACGAGGAACAGACAGACAGCCGAGCTCTTGGACGGAGTCTGCTTTTTGAAAAAAGCGGGAAAGTCTGAGATTGTGAGAATTGTTGCAAAGTGGGGAAAACAAACAAGAATCTGGTTTTCATGTCAAAGTGGAAAGTTCTGTCTTGTCGGAGAACGAAACGGCAAAAGTCAACATCAGTCGTCCTTATTCATTCGGAACACACAACCAAGAATGGACCTGCTGCGCTCAGTCGGACAGTGGGCACACAGGCCATCACCGCAGCAGCCGGACGGCCAACAGACTGCTCAGCGCCAACGTACCGCAGTCCAGCGCCTCAATGCACGGCGGAGACTGGCTCGCGAGCGATTCCGCAACGCAGTCCGCAAAGTCATTCTGATGCGCAAATTTGCCTCGCCACGAACATTGCGACTCGAGAATGCGCTCATCACCAATGCCGTGCACTACGATGTCAACGGCCTGGGTGTTCACTTGGACCAGGTGAGCAACAGCACTTGTGCCGAACGTTGAGTGGAAAAACAAGCCAACAAAAATTTGAGCCAAATTGTTCACTGACTGCAAAAGCACTTTTGGTTTTTTTGGCATGGTAGGACCCCGCCACGATGGAGTTTGGCGTATTCACTCAAAGAAATAGCCAGCGCATGTACAGACCATTCCCGATGGTCGCATTTCACGCAGTGTCCATGCGCGATCTGGGAGTTTACGTTGGGTTTGCGCTGGGTTTGCTGCTCATGCTCTTTCGGCCGTCCCTGTTTGTGCCGCTCGTGCGCGCCATGCTGGAATTCCTTCTCCAGACAAAGCTCACCGATTTGTCGTCGGCCTTGATGACGGATGTTGTCGCCACGGAGGGCTGGAAGCGACTTGTCACCTCGACCATCTCCTATGCTGGAGGCATTCTGCAGGCGGCAGCCATCTTTTGCTTGGCGCTTGCCGCTTACATTGGTGTCGGTTGGCTCCTGTGGCGCGTGATCAAGGGCTTTCCACAAAAGCTGCACGAGGTCTGTCGCTACTTTCTGACAATGAACTCGAACTCGGTGTTTTGTCGCCTTTTTTTCTTGTTTTTTTTGGCACACTCACGCTGCGCTCATGTATGTGATGTTTGGAATGGACCGACAGAGCTACTTTTGGAAGGCCAACTGTCCCTACTGCCACTTTGACATTCGCTTTCGCCTGCTCCTTCGCTTCCGATGCAACCATTGCGGCTGCATGTCGCGGTTTGACGACAAGCTGCGGCTGTTGGTGCCCTTGGACGCGCTGCCGTTGCCAGCCTCCAAGCGTTCTGCAGCACTATAAAAGTAAAACATTGCTGCTGGTTTCGTTGTGCTGAAACAATGAAGCGCTCTCAAGCATCGAACAACCAAACATTGACGAGCAAAATATCGATTAATTTTTAAGACCCAATAAAGCAATACAAGAGAAGCAACCGCAAGCGTTCGAGCGTACGACAGAAATCACTAACACATCCCTCAAACAGAAGACAACTCATAGAATACGAATAAAAACAAAGCAAACAGCAAACTCGTCGCCGTGCTCATGCACCAATGCTCAGCTTGACCTCGGAAACGGACATGAGCATAATGTCCACAATCTGCTTGGCAGCGGTGCCGTCGCCGAACGGGAAGCACTTGCACGACATTTTGGCAAAAGTTTGCTCGTCCGTCAGAAGCACGTTCGCCTCCTTGACAATCGTGTCCTCGTGAATGCCGACGAGCTTGGTAACGCCGGCATCGACGCCTTCGGGGCGCTCGGTGGTCTCGCGAAGGACAATGGTGGGCTTGGCAAGCGCAGTGACTTCTTCTTGAATGCCGCCAGAGTCGGTCATGACCATGTACATGCGGTCCAGGAAGTGGACAAAGACGTCGTACTCAAGCGGGTCGAGCAGATGGACGCGCTCCACCTTGCCCAGCTCTTGGCGGACGGGCACACACACGGCGGGGTTGAGGTGGACGGGGTACCACACATTCACGTCCTTGTGCTGCGCAATGATGCGCTTGACGGCACGGCAGATGGCCGCAATGCCCTCTCCGTGGTTCTCTCGACGATGGGCAGTGAGAAGAATATGGCGCGCCTTCTGGCCAGCGGGGAGCGTGGCGTTAGTGGCTGCGTCGACGGCCTCTACGCGATCGAGCAGCTGGCGAGCCGCTGCTGAGGGTGCCTTCTCACGAATCAGCAGGATGGCGTCGATAACGGGATTGCCCGTGACAAACACGGTCTGCATGTCGATGCGCTCGGCGCGCAGGGCCTCGGCGGCATAATTTGTGGGGGCAAAATGCAGGTTGCCAACAACCGAGACGATACGACGATTGACCTCTTCGGGGAAGGGGTTGTAGCGGTCGTTCGTGCGCAGACCAGCCTCAATGTGGCCGACAGGCACGCGATAGTAGAAGGCGCACATGGCGGCAATCATGGCTGTGGTGGTGTCGCCCTGAACAAGGACGAGGTGAGGACGAACGGCTTCAAACACGGGCGCCAGCGCAGTGAACAGACGCGCCGACAGGTTGGAGAGGGTTTGGCCTTGGGTCATCAGGTTGAGGTCAATATCCGTGGCAATGTCAAACAGCGAGAGGAGCGGGTCAATCATCTGGCGGTGTTGCCCAGTCACGCAGGTAATTGACAACAGGCTCTCCGAGCGACGGTCCATCTCCTTGAGCACGGGATAGAACTTTATGACCTCAGGGCGAGTGCCGAAAATAGAGAGGACTCGCGTGGCAGTCGGGCGCACGGCAATGCGCGCAGCAACGCCCACAAGCGAGGCACCACCGGACGGCACCGGGGATGCCGACAGAGGGGTTGTGGAGCTGGAATCAGCGGGTGTCAAGACATTGGCTTGCATGCTGTTCAAAAACTTGTAAACTCTGTATTCGAGTAGGTTTCAAGTTCATAGAAAGGGAGGGCATGTGAGCTTTGTCAAATAAACTGCGATGCAGCCAAAAACGAAAATAAGCCAGAATGACGGAAATCTCGCTCGGAAATGCACCAAAAAAACCAAAAAAAAAAAAAACTGAAAAACAAACACCAACAACAATGGTTTCTGAGGTCTTTCAGCTGTCATTGCATTGGTCGTCCGTTTTGAACGTTTTTGGGAAAACAACGCAACAGCTGCAGCGACAAGTGAAGTGCGAGTAACAAAACACAAGTGGAGAGTGGACGGCTGCTCATTACGACTGCAGCATTTGGCAAAGCTGTTCCACTCGTCTCGTCCGCCTTGCACCCGACTCGTCTGCCCCCCCCAACGCCCGCGCCTCAGCCATTGTCAGAGACTGGCGCAAGATGAGCGAATCGTGATGGCTGTTCCCCAAAGGGAGCAAGTCAAGGAGCAAAGGAATGGCCAAATCTGCGCGTGGGGCCAGAACAAAGCGCAAGCCAAAGCGACGAGGCGCGGCATGATGGAGGCGAGCATGGAAACACATGCAGACACACATGGACAACACAGGTGGCGAGCCGATGGAGGCGAGGGGCGGAACCGGCACGCAATGGAAGGCAGTTCCACAAAAAAAAAAAAAAAACAAAAAAAAAAAAGTTGAAAAAATGGAAGAACCACAACAAAAAACAACCATAACAAAAAGCCCCACCCACGAACGCATTGGCCAAGCCACAAGTGCACACAAACAGGTTGCCACCAGCGTTCCATCAAAGCAACGAGAAGGCGGAAAACAACTTGTGGCGGGCGCGAAGGGAGCAACTGCGGTTGACCAAAAATGGAGCTCCCACGAGAGCATCAAGAAGTTCGCACAACGCCTCCTCCTCCAGCCCTGTTTCTGAGTGCTGCTCTCTCTTCTTAGAGGTCTCTATTTGACTTTGACGCATTTGTAGCGACAACTGGAGTGGGATTTGACGAGGCAAGGGCAGATGTTGCGCAAGGTTACCTTTTTGGCAGAAAGATGAGCGACCAAACAAACAAACACAAAACGGGGACTGCAATGCAAATAATGACGATGACGGACGTAAGTTCGCACTGCTTTTGCTTTGACTGATTCCAATGATTACCAGCGATCGTACAAGTCTAGCTACATGGACGGCGAAGCTAGAGGATTGATGGGAGATGCAGTCAACCTTTTTTCCCCCGTTGAAGGTCAAACATTGACTTGAGACCGTAAATGAAAAAAAAAAAAAAAAAAATGAAGCGTTTTGTTGATTTATGATGCTAAAGAAAAGTCGGGTGCCTTTTTTTTTTTTTTTTTTTTTTTTTTTTTTTGTTTTTTTTTTTGGGCGTGCGGTGTTCTGTTTTGTCCCCTCCGCCCCTCTCACCCTCTTGCCTTGTGCTTGCGATGAACGTCTGCCTCACATACTAGACCCAACGGCGTCGGTGCTTCTGAAAGCAATGACGTCGCGGCTCCGCTTGATCTTTGCGGGTGTGCTGCTTTTTGGCGCCGTGATCGGGTTTTTCTTGTCGTCCACACTGAAAAGCAGCAGCGGCATGGACTCGTTCGACTTTGTCGTGCTCGAGGAGGACGACAGCGATCCATGCAAACGATTCAACTCTCTAGACGACGATTCAGCGGCTGGAGTGGCCGTCGAGTGCCTTCTCAAACGGCCGTTGGGCTTTCTGCCCCTTTTCGACATTAGCCCTGCTCCCAGTTGGCTGCCTTCCGATCAGACAGCCGACGGATTTGAACTCAACATTGATCTGCAAGTTGCCAATGTCTCCTTGCCAGTCGACTGGTCCATGGACCCATTCCACGATCGTTCCTGGCGAATGTGGCTGCACGGTCTGAACGGTAGGTCCTACCGTTGTTTCAACCTCGACTGAATGGGTGGATTTTCGTGATTTCGACCAACACTGCATTGAAAACCCATCAACATGCGTGTTTCCGTTCATGACAGACCTTGTTGCGCCCTCTCTTCGGGCATATGCGCAAAATCCTCAAACCCCAGAGTACTTGCTCGTGGGGAAATGGTATGCTTTGGACTGGTGCCGAAAGTTCCGCAACACACACCAACACACGGACGACAATGGTAATTTTGTCTGGTACGACATGGCCGTCACCTCTCGAGCTGTGGTCCTTGTGACGTTGATGCACTTGGGTGCCCATGCCGGACCCTTAATACTACCACTCTCAGAAATGCGGCTACTGGCACAGTGCGCCATTGTGCACGGCGAGTTTATGGTGGACACCTCCAATTACTTGTGGCACAACCATGGTTTATTCTGCGACGCATCGCTCTATCTTTTGTCAGACATTGCGCCGTGGTTGCACCCAGACACGCGGATGTGGAAACAAACGGCTATCGGGCGATTCAACAAAAACGGACGAGCGTCATTCGACTCGATCACTGGCGTGCACAAGGAGCACTCGACAGGCTACCAACTCTGGATGTCCTACTTGCTTTACTTTTGTGATCAAGTTGGCTTGCTTTCGTACACCAGTTTGAAGGCAATTCTGCCGCAAATGGAAAACACGCTGACCTGGATGCTGACGACCGACGACGCCCAGTCGCTGCCGTTGATCGGCGATACTGCGGGCGAGAATACTCCACCCAAGCCGATTTACACGCACACGGACGGGTTGGCGCCTGAAGAGTTCAACCGCGGCGGTGTTGCAATTGTCAAGCAACTATCAACGAGCAGTCACCTCTTTGTGACTGCCTGGTTTTTTTCCTGCGTCCACAAGCACTACGACGATCTATCCTTTATTCTCACCGAGTTTGGGCGCCGGTTGCTCGTCGATCAAGGGAGATTTGCCTATTTTTACGACCACCCTCATCGGTAAGAGCAGCAGGTTGTGTATTGTTGTTTGGTTTTCTTGTTTGTTTGTTTCCGCCCCTGAAGTTGTTGCCTCCGTGTTTAACAAGCTCGATGCTATGTGCTTGCCTTTGGACATAGGCTTTACACGGTCAGTGGTGCAGCGCACAACGGCATGACGGTAGACGACTTTAAACCAGAGCCGTGCAAGAAACTCGGCCAGCCGTACGGCTCTGCGATTTTGCTCAGTACGTCCAATCAGGGCTGGACTGTGTTTGCCGGGGACAACCCCATCTTGACACGAACGCAGGGAATCCGCCACACTCGTGTCTTTTTCTACCTTCCATCCAAGCTACTCGTGGTGGTTGACCTGGCCGTGCCATCCGATTCCTCAAGTGTGCACCAGTACACGCGCCATCTCCATTACGACACAGAGATAGCGTTGGCCATGACGGATCGTGCTGGCTACAGCGCCTTTGTGGAGCATGACGGCACCCAACAGCAGCTTGTGGCTCGTGTCAGGGATTGGTCTGCGACTGCCAACATTTCCTCGTCCACCATCACGCTGATCAAGGGACAAGCGACGCCAACACTGCAGGGCTGGACATATCCAAAGCTGCGTGTACCGGTTCCCGCGTTCGTCTCCAACATGCGAGCAACGGTTCGAGGCAATGTGGCGTTCGTAACCGCGCTCCAAATCGCGCAACCATCGGGCCAGGTCCCAGCCGCACGGCTGGTTCAGCCCGTTTTCTGGACGCAACAGCATGGCGCCGTTCGGACTGTCGAACTTGATCTTGTTGTTGACGGCGTTCACTGGCTTTTGAAGGTCGCTCTTGCCAAGCGGGAGTTTGAAGCCACGATTCTTTGATCTGGATGCGTGTGTTGCGAAGTCGGGCTCAGCCCCCTAATTGTTTTTTGAATTATTTTCACGGTATATTCTCAGTCAACGACACTTTCGCATCCTTGCTCGTATCTAGAGCGAGGATTGAATTCCAGGCGACAATAGATCTACTCGTGCATGTCTGACATTGTTCAGAACTGGTGCTTTTCAAATCGTCGTTGAAGGATTGCTTCAGTTTCTGTATTTTTTGTTTCAGAACAACAAAGCAACAAATTAACAACGACAGATTTCAATTGCAAACCCGGAAAATACAAAGACAAACTTCATCAGACGGTAGTTTGCAATACCAGTTTGTCTGAGTGGGAAAAATTGGGTTGAACATCAACGCATGCACAAAATAAAAGAATCAGACATAAAAGCACAATCTTGACAGCGAGTGAAGACAAAAGCCTGCATCACGGTGTTGAAATGGATGGCGCGGAGGAACTGCTTGTAGCATTGCCACTGGAAGAGCTGCTAGCAACGTTGCCACTGGAAGAGCTGCTTGTAGCGGTGCTAGAGGACCCGGCGGACGAGCTGCTCGAAATGGAGCTGGTGCGATAGATGGGCTCTTGCGCATGCGTCGGACACACCCAACGAACCTCACCACCGTCGAGCACAACAGCTCGCTCCAAACCGGCAAAGGACTTGTACTCGTCGTTCTTGGACAGGAAAGCAGCCCATTCCCTTGCCGCCTCTTGGGACGAGTGTGTGACTTCTGAGGAAGCAGCAGATGCAGGCGCTGGTTTCCCTTTGGCGCTGGAACTCTTTTTCTGATCGGCGTGGTCGAGCAATCTTTGCAAGTAGGGCAGAGCTTCGAGCGGGTCTTCCAAAGCAGTACTGGCTGAATCAACAGCATCCGTTACATCTGGTGCACCAGGAACAAAGCTGGCTGCTTTCAAGAACGGACGCACAAACTCAAGCAGGCTGCGAACACGGGAACCATACTTTTTCAGCCACTTTGAAAACTTGGCAATTTCGTAGCCGGGATGACTGTCGATACGATGCCACTCTGGCTGGTTGTTGGTACCCATGTGAGCGCATAGCAGGTGCGCAGTGTGGCGTGACTTGTAAAGTTCTTTGAGCTTGGAAAACCAGTTCCGGGTCGCAGCCGGAGGCATCACGACAAACAACAAGGGGCATGGTTTGTCCAGCAAATCCAGTTGCATTTGGACTTGACTCGTGAAAAAACGAGCGATTTCGTTTCTCTGCTCCTTTTGCAAAGATTCTGCCGTGTCCAGCCGCGAAATCAAGCTGTCGGCAAGCTCATCAATGCGCTTCAGAACTTTGTCGAACTCGACAGAATTGGTTTTGACCACATTTGGAATTGATCCAATAAGAACATCCAGAGCGTCCCGGAAACTCTTCAAGTTCCTTGCTGCTTCAGTCGCAAAGTTGGTAAAATGTTGCGCATTGGAAGTCGCAAACTCTTGAAGCTGCGTTTGCAGTTGAGCTGCGACAAGTGATGCAGCTTCCGTCGCTGCTCTTTGGATCTCGCTCGCCGGTGCTGGTTGCGGTTCGAGCTGCCGTAGCGCTTCGACATCCTCCGGTGTGGGTTGTGAAACCGCTTTCAAGCGACGCTGCAACAGCGAGTGGAGAACTGGAAGCCATTCCTCCTTTGGTAGCGTGATGTGCTTGTGCAAACATGACAAAATCATACTGTTAATGACCGCATCACGAACTCGAGGTCGTAGCGTCAACCTGCATGCTTGATTGTCATCAGGCTCGTGCATGGGGCAGCGCAGATAAGTTTCCCATGAAATTCCAGGATACCAATCCGAGCTGAGCGTGTCAAGAATCTCAATCAGAGTTGGAAGCAGCCTCTCTGGATGCTTCCCGCGAGCGGTAAACTCGAGGCGCACATTGGAATCGTTGCGATGAACACGCAGGAGCGCTCGAGGACCGTCGCAATTGACCAGAACAGCATCTTTCCACGCTGTCAAACTGAATTTCCGCTCGTGAAAGCGCACAACCAGCCTCGAGAAAAATCCTTCCAGCAGAAACTTTGTCTCCATCACAATGGCAACTTCGTGCGGCTCGCTCGCTTCAGGCTTCAATGACCATCTACTAGAGTCAAACTCGTAAGCTGGGAGGTACGAAGGGATGACATAGCGAGTTTCGGCGCTTGAAGCAGAATCGGTTCCAGTCTGATCGGCATCGCTCATCTTGTACAAAAGCTCGTATCGCTGAAGGAGCAGCACAAACTGATCACAAATCGCAGAATCGATGCCCTTCCAAGCGTTTCGAAGCAGATTTGCACGAGTCACAATGCCATCCTTGACCCATCGATCTTTAGGCTTCTGGGTTATTACCCCAGTCAGGACTGTTTTCGTGAACCATTGAGGGTTCAAGATGACTATATCGTCCAAAGAAGCGAGGAGAGTGGCAGGTTGCAGCGCGGGAACATTGGACGTGTCTGGGGTCGCTGAATTGGCGAGACGATGGAAAACGACCCAGCCTTGAAAACGCAAGAGCTCCATGAATGCATCGATGGCTCGCCCGCTGAGACGCAGTGACTGGCCAAGCTCGACAATTTCATGCCATCGACAGAGGGGCGGTTTGTTCTGGGCGACCAACTGATCGGCTCGCTTCCGTAGAGAGTCTCTGAACCGGATGTACCGGCCATCCACCGGTTGATTGTAAAACGGCATGTTTTGTCCGGCTTGAAACAATGCACTCTTGAGTTCCGGCATGCTCGGGGCCCCCGTAGAGTTCCGCGCGTTAATGTAGACGGTCGAACGCACGTTAAACGAAACACTTGATTTTTTCAGGCTGCTGAGCAGATTGGCAAGATTTTGTTTTTGCTCTTGCTGCCGCTCCGAAGTGTATGACGGATCATCAATGTGGGTTCCAACAAGAATGATATCGGCGTTTGGAACGCAAGCGTGCAAGCTGCGGAGCCAAAAGGCAAGGCGCGAATGGAGTGACAAGTCTTCACGCACGTCAAACAAGACCAGGTAGACTGTTCGTTCTCGAAGAAAGAACTGGTGCGAAACCAGATAGACTTCTTGACCAGCGAAATCCCAAACGATCAAAATCATGGATTCGTCTTTCTCACGCAGAACGACTGTCGAAATATCAATACCATCGGTGGAATTGGCAATGCTGAACATATTGGAGAACGCCTGTCGCACGTAACCGTCGGCGCTTCCAGTAACAAGCGAGGTCTTGCCGACTGAAGGATCTCCAAGCACGACCACGCGAACTTCCTGGCATCGAACGGAACCAAATCGCCACTGATTCGCAATGTGTCTGAAAGTGGGGAAAAGTGAGGTCAGAATGGGGTCGTTGACGAACGAACTCGGACCAAGCGGAAAACTTACAACTGAAAAGTTGGACGGATACTGTGGCGCAGTACCGTTTCCTCCACATAGCCGATCTGATTCTTCTCCAAACTACCGATTGATCTGTGAGTAATGCTGTTGCTGGGCATTCAACATTTAAACGCTTACTTGAGAATTTGCAAAGTCGTATTTTTTTGGAGTGCTTCTGAGATGGAAAGAGCCCCAGCGTCTCCGATCTGATTCGATGACAGACTAACGATTGATCTGTGAGTAATGCTGCGGTTGGGAATTCAACATTGAAAACGCTTACTCTAGATTTTGCAAGGTCGTATTCTGTTGGAGTGCCCAGCGTCACCAACCCGATTCGAGTCCAAACTGTTGAGACATTGAGTGAAAGAACTCGTCTGAATCTGGCTGATCAAGCGAC